TCAATCGTATTTCTTGTTAAGGGCTGGAGAACTCATTATTACAACAACAATAGTAATGATAATAAGAGCATTTATTGAGTGCTTACTTCAGTGCAGGCACTTAACATTCATTATATTATTTAATTAAGAAGAATTTTACTTGACATTAATTTTATGTCACTTCTTCTACCCTGTCAGCTGTGGTTTTACCCAGGATTCTGTCCCAGAATCTGTAGGGGCCTGGATAAGTGTAAGAAAACTCACTTGTAAATAACTAAGTCACAAAAGATGTATAATTTGAAGTAAAGCCATCAGGATTCCCTAAACAATGGATATGACATGTTATAGAAAGAGAAAAGCTACAGGTAAAACCAAGGCTGCTTTTGTTTTTGAATTTTTATTGTTTAATTTTATTTATTTTATTGGCTTTTCCATTCTACTTGTTTCTTTAGGGAGTATAATATGCATTCGTATAACTTCGTATAATGTATGCTATACGAAGTTATTACGAAAGATGACCGGTAAGGGGATCTTAACCCTTGACTTGGTGTTGTCAGCACCACACTCACCCAGTGAGCAACCGGCCATCCCTATATGGGATCCGAACCTGTGGCCTTGGTATTATCAGCACAGCACTCTCCCGAGTGAGCCATGGGCCGGCCCCAAAAGATTTTATTTTCTATCATTCCCTCTGCATTGTCTTCTTTGGTTACTTTTAAAAATGGTTCAGAAATAGTGTACCAATGTTCATTTCCTGGTTTTGATCATTGTATTACGGTTATGTGTGGTGTTAAAATAAGTGAGGTAAGGGGTAGGAGGAAACAATTTGTACTAATTTTGCAAATTTTCTGTAAGTCTAAAATTAGTTAAAAAACAAAATTGAAAAGAGTTCATAATTTTTTTACTATGAAAATTTTTTTAAATAAAATTTTTTAAAATTTTGTATCTTATTTTTTATGGCACAAAAGCAATACATGTTCAATATAGAGAACATTTTACATTCATATATGTAAAGAGAAGAAAATGAAAATCCCCTCATTCAACCAGCTAGAGGTAGCTGCTATAAATATTTAGATGTAAATTCATTGAGATGTGTGGGTATACGGATATACAGCATGTATGAATTTCAATCACTGACTCCATCTGCAAAGGTAAAACTTTGTTTTTTATTGAACTTAATTTGTCTTAAATCTTCAGTCTGCTTAATGGGAGGTAACTTAATTTAGTCATTTGGGGTAGGTCAGTCATTTTAAGTTTAAAGTCATTTAAATTTAGGTTTTAAATTGAATTCCCTTCCTCTTACTCTCTAGAGAGGTTACGTTTGGACCCCATTTATCTTCTTTTTTAAAAAAATTTAATTTATTTATTGAATCAAAATCGATTATACATTTTTGGGGTTGAACGTTGAGATATGTTGATTAAATCAATATTACTAGCATATATATTGTTACAAATCGTAATTATTCTTTATGCCCCTTGTCCAACCTCTCAAAAATATGGGACGCTTCACGAATTTGCATGTCATCCTTGCGCAGGGGCCATGCTAATCTTCTCTGTATCGTTCCAATGTTAGTATATGTGCTGCTGAAGTGAGCACAGCAATCTCGTTTTTTTTTTTTTTGACCGGTAAGGGGATTGCAACCCTCGGCATGTTGTGGTCCGCATCACGCTCAGCCAGTGAGTGCACTGGCCATCCCTATATAGGATCCGAACCCAAGGCTTCGGCACTACCAGCACGGCACTCTCCCAAGTGAGCCACGGGGCCGGCCCATGGACCCCATTTATCTTCTTCAGCCATCCACTGCTGATATAACTCATCCCACCTCATCACTGTGGACCAGCCTTCTGCTTCTGCTTGCTAGAACCATAATCTTCACAGTGCTGTCGACTCAGTGGGGACTCTCATAGGTGTCCCTAAGGCTGTCCATGGGCTTCTTGACAGAGCCACCAAACTCACCATTACTCCTTTAATGCCCTGGCACTTTTCTGGTTTCTGAGGCTCTCTCTAAGATCTGAAGAATCCTGATGCTACTTTCTAGGAAATGTGGCATAACTTCCTTTTCTTATGGGTTCTCCAGAAACTTTGATAGGCTTTCTATCATCCCTCCCTTTGTAGAGCTTGGCCTAGTGTGATGGCATTCCAGGCCCTTTCCCTGAGAACCACTTAAGGGATTTACTCTGCAAACCCTCCTACCTGTCATTCCTGAAAATTCTCCTCTCCTCCATTGAACTTTATCTCTATCTCCTTTTGGGTGAAAGAAGTAAACGAACAAGTTCTACATCTTCATACTTTCTTCCAGATACTATTAGTTATAAAATAAACTTGGAAGTTCTTATATTAAAGCCGGACTTTTGGATATTCAGATTCTTAAAGTTTTTTTTTTGTTTTTGTTTTTTTGCCAAAGGCTTTAAAGTTCTTTTTTGCAAACAAAGTATAAAAAGAATTTCTGAGACAATTGTGAAAATTTGATTATGAATGTTATTAGAAGATACTAAGGATTGATTTGTTATTAATTTTGTTAGATTTGATAATGGCCTTCTAGTTATATACTAACATATCCAGAGTTTTTAAATAAATTAGTGGAGGCCATCATAGGCAGGATGGGTTGGGTAGTGACAGGTGATGTGAGGCTGGAAAGAGGGAGGAAGGGGACAGATCATGAAGAGTCACACATGTCATTCTTGGATTTCATGTTCATCAAATGGAACAGGGGAGTGACATTATTAATTTGCATAAAGGGTGGCAGATGAGAAAGTGTATTTGTGACTGGGAAGTAGGTGGCTGGAGGAATTTTGGATTCCTTCCCCTTCCTCATTACCCATACCCAAATCTATCAGCACACCCTGTTGGCTCTCTTAGTTTCATCACTTTCCCATTCCAAGCTACCATCATCTCCTACCTGAACACAATAGTTTCTTAATTAGCGATTACTTCTGTTCTTGTTCTCTATAATCCGTTCTCCACAGAGCTGCCAGAGTGAATTTTTCAAAGCCTAAATCAAATTGTTATCCTCCTGCTTAAAACATTCAGTGGCTCCATTACAGTTAAAATAAAATACAAATTCTACCATAGACCATAAATTGTTATGTAATCTGGTCCTTATCTTCCCTAAAATCCTTTGTGCCACTCTTCTCCTTACTCAGCAGTCCAACCACACAAGCCACCCTGCAGTTCTTTTTCTAGTTACAAATATTCATCTTTCAGAAAACATTATCTAGTGTAATAGTTCTCAACTTGTAATTGTTATAACATTTTAATCAAACTAGTACAAATTGAACTTGATTTTTTAAAAGAAAAAGAATAAAGAATGATTAAAAGAGCGTTAAAATTCAGCTGCTGGTCCTGACAATGTGAAGTGTTGACTTTAGTCAATTTCACGTCATTCAATCTACCTTCTTTAACCATTGGACAGTCTTTATTCATAGATCTGAAGTCTTGAAAGAGCCACGTTCTCACATCTTGAATTTTATCTTTCAGTCTAAGAGCTTGGCATCATTACTTTTATACAGAAAATATTATCAATTTGGGCATTTTTCTGGCATATTCTCTAAGATCTTATTTAGAATCTGGCACATCCAAAATTGAACTGCATTATTATTTGCCTTATAATACTTCAAGAAGAAAGTGAAATAATTAAAATAATTTGAAATGCCATTGTCTTCATCTTCCTCCTCAACTTCCTTCTGTTTGGTGAAATGAACTAATAAATTGCTTCAAATTCTATTGCTCAATCCACTGCTGGTTCATGGTCACAGATCACCACAGTTTAAGATAATGAACAAATTGCCTCTTGAAAACCTGTTTTATTGACCACCTTTCCTACTCTGTTGATGGGAGTGTAAACCGGACCATTCCATGAAGGGCAGTGCCAATGTGACATTCATCACATTTACACATTTCCTCTCGGAGCCAGCAATTCTTTCTGAGCTCTGGCGCCACCACCGGCTTCCTAGCCTGGTGCAGCTGCTGTAGCAGGCATTTTTTTTTTTTTTCTTTTTATTGAAATGATTGTACATATCTGTGAGATACAGCGTTGAATGTCAATGCCTGTATTAGGTATGAGATGCTCAAATCAGGATAATTACTATAGTTATCAAAATACGGAACGCTTGTGTCATTCTTGCACGGGCCAGCTAATCTCCGTATGGACTATACAGTTTTAGTACGTACACGTGCTGCCTAAGCGAGCAGCGCTGCAGCAGATAAAAGGCCTGCTTCCTGGGCTGCAGCTGCAGCGTCCCAGGGGCCCACCGTCCTGAGGCCCAATTCCCCCTCCAGTCACCTCCGACTCCAGAGAGCCCGCCTCGGAGCGCCCCCTGCATTTCCCCGAGGAAAACAAGCTCCTTCCCGCCTTTGCTGGGTCAGCCACGTGCCTAAGGGGAAGCTGGTCCCGCCCACTATTGCCAGCAATTGCCAAAGAAGTTAGTTATGCTGCAATATTTTATGGCTTTCCTGTGCTAAGAAATTAAAAATTTCCCTAAACACAACAACAAAAGAGGTAGAGGGGGGATTCTGCAATCTGAATTCCAGTTAAGATTTTCTGCACTCTGTGTCTAACAGATAACACTAATGAGGCTTAAAATGAAACATTTAAGCGTAGGGTCTCAGGGCTCACCACAGGGAATGAAGGAAAGTATCCCGCTGCTAGTGGAAGACCCTAAGACATATGATGAAAAAATGAGAGGCAGGATGAGAAAGAGGTGAAAAACGGGGCTGAGCCTCAGGACGGGAAGGAAATAGCGGAAAGGAGAGGTGCCTCTCTTCGTTGAGGCAGGGAATCAAACAGAGAACGCCAGCACCGTGAGCACGGTGATCGCACTCCCGGGGCCGCGTGGCTTTCCCGCGCGCCCGCTTTGGGGGCGGGGAAGAACCCGGATGGAACCTTCCTTCCAGCCCGGACCTCCCCCCACGGGCTTTGAATCGCAGCGCGGGGCGGAGTTGCCCTCCCTTCTGTACCCTGATTGGTTTGTCTCCGCAGGCTCCTCCTCGCGATTGGACGTTCCCAGTGCCAGTTACAGAGCGACGCTAGTCTCGCAGATCGTTGCAAGAAGAAGACGGCGTCGACGTCTGACTACACTCGCGGCGTCTTACCTTTCGGTCATACGCTCTTGAGCCGGCGGTCGGAACCTGTCCCAGGCTTGTGGGTTGCGGGCCTTGGAGGAGGCGTCTCGAGAACTGTCCGGGCGCGCTCAGGCGTTCCTCTCGTCATCCCATTCAGCGCCATGTCCTGGATGTTCAAGAGGTGAAGGGAGCGGAGGGGGTGGGGCTCTTGTGCTAACGGCCTGGCGGCGTCCGCAAATGAACCTGACCTTCCCCGCCTTCCTCCCGCGTTCCCAGTGCGATTTGTGCAGCTTGTATTCGTTCTGCTTGTCTCTCATGTGGCCGCGGGAGAAATAAATGCATTGTCTTGAAAGGCGAGGAGAGGCTCCTCGGGCTGGTCTCGTGCCAGGGCTTTGGGAAATCTCTGTCACGGACTGTGGGGGGCCTGGGGCTCAAAGCTTTCCGTCCCGTTCTTTATTAAGCAAAACATCCATTAGATGCGTACTGTGCGCTAGGCTTTGTGGTGGAATAGGGGGTTGAGTAAGACAGCTCTTGTCCCCGAGTAGCTCACAGTTTATGTGCATGCACGGAGGTGCAAAAATATTTGCACAGGATCTAAAAAGAGGTATGCGCGACCTGCGAGGAAAACGCAGGGCAAATAGCGAGTGTTTGTCCTTAGGAGAATAAAAACTTCCTGGAAGCCTCCAAAAGACTTACCCTCACTTTTCATTGTCCAAATTGGTTTTCATGCCCATTCCTGAGACAGTTATCCGTAAAGGGATTGGAGTTATGCTTAAACCAACAAGGGGGCGGGCTAGGAGTGGCTTGAGGTCAGCTTCCCATGATGGCATGGTTTGGATACCTAATAAGTGTTCTGTTCGGAGGGTATTAAAGTAGTGGATGTTGGCTGTATTACCTGGAAAGTTATAAACAGCTTTATCTGTAAAATAGTTCTATTTTTGCAAGTCTCTTCTAGCTCAATCCCCATTGAAATTTTGGCATGTAATTTTAGTTATAGACATTAACATACATTTCAATTTAAATAGATTTTCATTAGGAAAGAGACTTTTCAATCTTTACTAGGTTTTTCATTTTCATTACCCGTGAGGGTAGAAAAGCCAATATTGAACAGGTAGCATTCTTCCTGAAAGCCTTCCCCACTCACTCCGATTCCTGCTTTATCCAGAGTAACTGTTAATCTGTTTATGGTGATTCCCACATAGGATTTCATTTGCTGAAATAAAGCTTGAGAAAACTATTGGCCTATAAATACTGGTAAGGTCTTTGATAAATACTTGGTTAAATATTGCATTGTTGTCCCTTGTCTTTTTTTTTTTAAATAGAGATCCTGTTTGGAAGTACTTGCAGACGGTTCAGTATGGAGTTCATGGAAATTTTCCACGCCTCTCTTATCCAACTTTCTTTCCACGTTTTGAATTCCAAGATATTATCCCTCCAGACGACTTCCTAACTAGTGATGAAGAGCTAGATTCAGTTTTATTTGGAACTTTGAGAGGTCATGTGGTTGGATTACGCTATTACACTGGAGTAGTGAGTATAACAGTAGATATTAAGTTAAATTGTGATATATGTCTGGTATTAACCTAGAAAATAAGAGAATTAGAAGGTGATATGTGTAATTAATATTTATTTTAAATAATTGAAATTTACGTAGGCAAGAGATAAATAAATGCCTGAGTAGTTTTGGCTAATATTCTTTTACATTTTTAACATGCTTGCAATAAAAAGCACTTTTGCCTGCAGTGTCATCCGATCCCTACAATAACTGAGATAGGCCATGTATTATCTCTTTTCTATAGCTGAGGAACTGAAGCTCTGGAAGGTTAAAAAATTTGCCCAAAATGTACAGATACTATGGATAGATTTGGGAAATGACTTCTAAGTCTAGAATTTTCTTCTCTTCTGCCCCTCAGCACATTTCTGCACTTTAATATTTTTAATTTAGGAAGATCAGCCTCCTACTAGGTAAAAGAATTGTATTAGAGGTATAATAGACATCTCTATTATTTTAGGTTCTCTTATTTTTAGGTTCCTCCCCCCATTTTTTGGTAATAAGATTGTCTCCCACCTTTTCTTTCTTGTCTATCATTCTGTATCTCTATTTTCTGCGTTGTGTGTGAGAAAGAGAGAAATAAACAGATTGAGAGTATATATAAATTCCTGTGGTTGGTTGTTGCCTTGTTATGGTCATCTAACATGTCTCTGTGTTGTTTGGATATATACCTCACATTTTATTTATTATGAAAAGTTTCAAACATGCATGAAAATAGAACAGTGTCATGAACTTTCATATACTCATGATCCAGATTCAAGTTAACAAGTTTCCACATTTGCTTTATCCCTTTTCTTTCTTTTGTCCTTTTGTACTAAAGCAGATCTTATTGTTTTACATTCATGTAATTCAGTATGTATCTCTAGAAAAATTTCTTACATGTCATTTTCATACTTAACAAAATTAATAACAATTCCTTATTGCATCTAATAACTAATCTATAATTGGATTTTCTTGGTTATTTTAAACATGTCTTTATAGTTTTTGTTTTTTGAATCAGAATCAAAATAAGGCTCATTCAGTATCTTTGGTTGTTACAGGTCATAATACTACCCCCTCCCTGCCCGAAACCCACTCCTTGCCTTGTTTCATGTTTCATGTTATTGATTTGTTGCAAAAACCAGGTCTGTTTTATGGACTCTTCTAGATTTGTTAGTTGTACCATTCCCCCGTACTTTTTTTTTTTTTTATGTTGAAACTTGTCAAGTCATTTTTTTGGTTGTCTGAAGCATGTTCTGCAGGAGGTTCCTTGGGAAACATTTCCATGTTCTGAGTTTGTCTAGTTTTTAATTCTCCCATGTTTTCTTTACATTGGAGTTTCTCACATTGTTTTGCTTGCCTGGAATGTGTTGTCTAAGAGATTCCTTAGGAAGGAACAATATTTCCTAAGTTCTTTTATGTTCATAATTGTGATGTTTTATACTTAAAGGTTAGTTTGGCTGAATATAAAATCCTTGGACCGTATCCTCCATATCTTAATATTGCATAAAATGTTGTTGATGAGAATTCTGATGTTGATGTGATTTTCTCTCCCACTTAAGTGAATTGGAATTTATTTTGCCAGGATAACTAAAGATATTTTTCCTTATCTTGAAAGTCTGGCAGTTTCATTAGTGTATTGTCTTAGTGGTGACTGTTCTGTAAATTCATTTTCTTTTATTTTAGAAAATTTTCTGGGGCCGGCCCGTGGCTCACTCGGGAGAGTGCGGTGCTGATAACACCAAGGCCCTGGGTTCGGATCCCATATAGGGATGGCCGGTTCGCTCACTGGCTGAGCGTGGTGCTGACAACACCAAGTCAAGGGTTAAGATCCCCTTACTGGTCATCTTTTTTTAAAAAAAAAAAAAAAAAGAAAATTTTCTGTAATTATAGTTTTACATGTTTGCTTTTTTCCAAAGCTTGTTTTTCTTTTTCAGGGACTTCATTTTTTCCATTGCTATATTAGATCTCCTCTGCTTTTATGTCTATTACTTCCTCTGAAATTCTTTTTATCGTAATTTTTCACTTTTCTATTCTTCATCATTTATTTCCCTTGCCATATTTTTCACAAGGTCTGTTCACTCTTGTGTTCTTTCTACTCTAGTCTTTAATTTTGAAATGTTTTTTCTTTTTTTCCTAAATCTTTCTTGAAATCAGTTCTTATTTCATTTCTATCTGTTCTTTAGCCCTTATATCCATTTTGACTTTCCTATTTTAGATTTGTGCTGTTTTTTCAAAGCTTACATTGTTTTCAAAATTATTTAATTCCACTGTGAAATATTAGGTTATGGTTTTTATTGAACTTGGAACAATCACTATTTGTTCATCTTAGAATAATCTCTGTGACACTGGTAAACTAAAAGAAATGTGTGCTGATTAAAAGTAATTTTCACAGTATTTTTATTTTTCAAAATATATATTACTCGTTTTATAAATAATACGTGTTTATTATTTTAAAGTTGCTAAAAAGCACTAAGTCTTCGTAAAGTCTACCATCCAGAGCCATAACTTATTTATTTTGTATCTTCTACACTTATTTCCGTGAACATATGCATGTAAATTGAAATAATATTATGCCTATTCTGATCACTTTTCTTTTCCTCTTAGCAAAATATTAGGAATATGTTTTCATGTCAATACAAGTCTGTATTCTACTTTTAATTTCCTTATTGATGGACATTTTGGAGTTGATTGGTATTACAAAAAAATATTATAATAAAAATTGAGGTATTATCATTGCATACTTCTCTCATTTTAACTATTTTCAACTTCATTGAGATTTGGTTTACTTATGCTAAAATGCACATATTTTAATTGTACAGTTCCTGGAGTTTTGAGAAAGGTGTATAGCTGATAATCACCACCCCAATCAAGATATAGATCACCCTGAAGATATTCATCACCCTGAAAGTTCTCTTGTATACTGTTGCGGTCGTTTTTCCCTGCTCTTGCCTTGTTCAACCACCAGTCTGATTTCTATCACTGTAGATTAGTTTTGTATGTTCTAGAACTTTACATACATTGAATCATACAGTGTGTACTAATTTAAGTCTGGCTTCTTTCACTCAGCATGATTCAGGTACTTTTGGTGTCAGTTTTGGTTATTTATATTTTTAAAGAAAAGCATCCATTGTATTTAGATTTTCAGATTTATTCCCATAGAATACAATCTATGTACATAGTAATCACTTATACTTAAAAATATTTTATTTGTGGTTAGGGATATATTCCTGTTTTCATTAAATGTGTTATGTATTTGTGTCTATTATTTTTTATTGATTGATCTTGATAGAGATTTATCTGTTCCATTTATTTTCAAGTAATATCTCGGATTTTATTTTATTTTTTTTTCCTTCTTGTCTTTTTTACTGACCGGTAACGGGATCACAACCCTCGGTGTCGCGCCTGTACCGGGGACCGGCAATGGGATCGCAACCCTCGGTGTTGCGCCCGCACCGTGCTCAGCCAGTGCGCGGGAACCGGTCTCCACATGGGATCCGAACCCTCGGCGGGAGCGCCGCCACGCTCTGAAGCGGCGCACTTCTCCATTGCGCCACCGGGCCAGCCCAGTATCTCAGATTTTTAAAAATTTTCTTAATTCAGTAATTTCTCTTTTATATTCTGTTATTCTCGTTTCCTTAGGTTCATTTTTTGTTTGTTTTTAGATTCATGATTGGAGCACTTCATTTTAATCATATTCAATAATAAATTCTTTTAATGCTTCAAATGTTCTATTAAGTATTGTTTTGGTTATATCTCCTAAGTGTTGTTATATAGTATTTGCATTGCTCATTTTTAACTATTTGGTGTTTTTTTTTTAAGTGTTATATAGTATTTGAATTGCTCATTTTTAACTATTTGGTGGGGTTTTTTTTGGTGTTTTAAGAAAAAAACACCAAAGCTTATGGTGAAATTTTTTATTTCTTGACCCATCAGAGACTTTATTTTATAAAAGGTAGTTTGTTTCTTTTTCTACTGTAAAATACTGTTATGGTTAGTTTTAATTCTGTCTTTGTTATTGTCTTCATCTTTTTGTTTTTCTTAATGTGTCCTCCTTTTGTCTTGCTGCTTGGACCATGTTTTCTTTATTATAGTTGTCAGTATTTTGGTCCATATGTATTCTATTTAAAGTTATTCTAGTAATTAGCTGTTATTTGTAGTAAATGACAATTACCTAATTTTTTTTTAGTTGACAAATCAGTTTTATGACAGATACGGGATTTTATTTTATTTTATTTTATTTTATTTTATTTTTTTTTCCTTGTTGTCTTTTTTCGTGACCGGCAATGGATCGCAACCCTCAGTGTTGCGCCCATACCGGACCGGGACCGGTTGGCCCTCGGTGTTGCTCCCGCACCTCGCTCAGCCAGTGAACGGCCGGTCTGTATGTGGGATCCGAACCCTCGGCGGGAGTGCCACCGCGCTTCCCAAGCGGCGCACTGTAGCAGTGCGCCACCGGGCCGGCCCTAATTTTAATTAATGATACTTTATTACAGTAAATGACCATTATCTAATTATATTATTTGAGATGAAATTCTCAAAAAAGTTAGTTTTTTGCCATGCTTTGTTTGGCCATATATTTTCTAGGATTTGCATAATCTAGATTAAAGATGATCATGCTGTATGCAGTGGCAGAGGAGAGGTGGGCTGGGAGAGAACAGAGATATGCCTCACAGAATATTTCCATAGGGCTAGAGGGGATATCTGTGTGATACTATGGTTGGTTCAGGCTGTAGTCTCAAGTCAGTAGACAGATACTGGAAGAGGTTTGAATCAGCTTTCCTGTATCTTTTCAGCAAATTTTAAAGATTGAGATATTTCACATATCATAAAATTCACCATTTTTAAAGTGTACAGTTGGGTGGTTTTTAGAATATTTATAAGGTTGTGCAACCATCCACAGTGTCTAGTTCAAGAACATTTTCATCACTACTAAAAGAAACTCCATACCCATTTGTAGTCACTTCCCTTTACCCCTTTCCCTAAGTCCCTGGAAACCACTATTCTATTTTCTGTTTGTATGGATTTGCCTGCTCTAGACATTTAATATAAATGGAATCATAAAATATGTGGCCTGTGGGTCTGGCCTCCAGTATTGCCTTCTATTGTGTTATAGGTGTTTCCTAGTGTACCATTTTAATTCCCTTTTTTTTACTATATATTTTGAATTGTTTTCTTAGTGGTTGCCTTAGGGATTACAATTAGCATCTTCATTTATAAGAATCTAGTTTGTTTTAGTGCCAATTTAATTTCAATAGTATATAAAAACTACTTCTAGATAGCTCCATCCTGCTCCCCTCCTTTGTGCTGTTCCCATGTAAATTACATCTTTATATGTATTGTGTGCTCATCAGAGATTTATAACTTGTTTTATGTACTTTTAAATCAGAAAAAAATTACAAAAAATACATTTATACTGCCATTTATATTTACCTATGTAATATTTACCTTTACCTGTGCTCTTAATTTCTTCATGTGAATTTAAGTTACTGTCCAGCGTCCTTTGATTTCAGCCTGAAAACCTTCTTTTAGTATTTCATATAGGTCAGGTCTGCTACTGATGGATTCTCTCAGATATTTTTTCTCTGGGAATATCTTAATTTCTCCTTCATTTTTGGAGAGTAGTTTTGCCAGATATAGAATTCTTGGTTGAATTTTTTTCTTTCGAGCACCTTGCCTTTTGGCCTCTATGGTTTCTGATGAGAAATCAGCTGTTAATCTTATTGAGGATAAATTGCTTCTCTTGTTACTTTCAAGATTCATTCTTTTAACAGTTTGATTATGATGTATCTGGGTGTGGGTCTCTTTTGAGTTTATTTTACTTGGAGTTTGTTGAGCTGCTTATATGTGCAGGTTAATGTTTTTCATCAAATTTGGGAAGTTCTTGGCCTTTATTTCTTCGAATATTTTTTCTCCTCCTTTCTCTCTTCTCCTTCTGGTACTCTCATTATGTGTGTGTTGGTGTGCTTCATGTTACAGATCTCTGAGGCTCTGTTTATGTTTTTCTATTTTTTTTCTGTTCCTCAGATTTTGTATTCTCAATTGACTTATCTTCAGTTTTGCTGATTTTTTTCCTTCTGTGTACTCAAATCTGTGGTTGAGCCTCTCTGGTGAATTTTTCACTTCAATTACTGTAGTTTTTGACTCCAGAATTTCTATTTGGTAAGCCATTATACTCATGTCTTTAGTCATGAATTCTTGTGTATAAAGAAATGGTTTGCTTTAGGCCTTTGAACATATTTAAAATAGTTGGCTTAAATTATTTTTCTAGTATGTGAGTATCTGTGCTTCCTTAGGGACAGTTGATAGTTGCTTTCTATAAACCATACTTTCTAGTTGCTTTGCATGGCCTATGCTTTTTTCTTGAAAAATGAACATTTTGAATAATGTGGCAACTCTGGGAATCAGATTTTCCTCTCTTCCCTGGGTCGTTGTTGCTGATTTTGGTAATTGGTGTTTTTTAGTGACTTTTCTGAATTAGTTCTATTCAGTTTATTCTTTATTGTATATGGTCACGGAAGCTTGTACTTGGTTAGATTAGTGGTCAGCTAATGATTGTACCAGAACCAGTAACTCTTGCAGTCTTTGCTGTATGTGTTGCGGCACTCCTTCATTACTATAAGGCAGTTGATAACTGCCTTAGCCTTTACTTCCTGCTTGTTAAATGTCTCAAGTTCAGCCAGAGTTGAGAGCTTAGGGCCCTCTCAGGTCTTTACTGAGAATGTGCACAGTTGTTGTCATGCGTACAGCTCTATGCTTGCATATGGCCTTCTAGATTTCCAGAAATAAGTTGGAGCTTTTCAAAGCCTTATGGACATCTTATTCCCCAGCTTTTTCTTTTAAGCCTTTTTGTTATTCTGTTGTTTGCTCCAACTATTATTTGTCACCTTAGGCAACCATGAAGTTACACTTGTCTGTAAAATTGTTTTTGACCAATATCTGTGCAAGGGATAAGGTTTTTTGTTTTTTTTTTGTTTTTTAAATTTAATAAGTACATTCTAAGATGTTGTTGTGGGTGGGCAGGTAGGGGGGGAGGGAGGATTGGCCCACGGCTGGCACCTTTGCTAGCCTGGTTGCGGGGTGAAGGCCCATGGCCTGCTGTTGTCTTCAGGGCCCCCTGAGGGGTGGGGGAGCTTCTGCTCGCTAGCTGTCTGTCTCTGGCCTGGTTGTGATTGGTGATTAGTGACGAGGTTTTTTGTAACAAGTGAGCAAACAGATCAAATACAGCCAGCTTTGCAAGTGAGGCCTTCTAGGGAACCATTGGACAAGTCACATAATGACAGTTCTTTGGGAATCAATCTTTGAGAGACTTGAGACTCCATTCTTCTCCCTCTGGCGACTCCCAGGCTACACTGAAAATCCCAGCATGCTGTTGTTTTTAAATGGTATCCTGTAGCTGGAGAGCTGGGGATGTGACTAGGGCATTGATATCCAGCTGTTTTTCTTGAATGAACACTCCCCGATTTTTGTAAGCCTTTGGTTAGTTTCCAGGGTTCTGAAAAAGTTGATTCTGACTATCTTTGCCAGTTTTTTTGTTGCTTTTATGGAGGAGAGAATTTTTGGATGTCCTTCCTCTGCCATTTTTGATGGTACACCCTCACACAGTTTTTAATCAAGTAGAATCAGAGAATGGCATGAGTTGAAGGCTGGGTATATTTTTCTTATTCCAGTTCCATTGTGACTTATAAATGCCTTTTTTTTTTTCTCCTTTTAGGTTCGGGAGAATTCAGGTTCAGGAACCAGTCTGCGCGAGTTCAAAATCTAGCTCTGTTACTTATTAGCTTTGTGACTTTGGGCAAGTTTCTTAACTTTTTTGTGCTTTAGTTTCTTTATCTGTAAAATGGGGATAATAATAGTACCTACTGCTAAGGGTTATGAGGATTTAAAAAAGTCAGCCCATGCAATGTATTTAGAACAATCCTTGGCACATTGTGAGCACTCAATAAACGTTTGTTATTTTTCAGAAGGTATGAGGTTAAAAAGTTTAGATAGTGTGAATCTGCTAGTTTAGATTTGATTGTATCTTTTAGATATCAAGGATTTAACTTCCCAATGAATATAAATAAATATAAATTAGAATAGAAATTAGAAAAGTAGTATGAAAGAATCATTATAAGATATATTCTGTAGTATTTCTATAGTTTAAGTCCAAGAAAATATATTTTTCTTATATGCATTGTGTAGGGGCAGCATTAAAAAATGAATAGAAATCCCGACTAAAGTATGATAAAGTAAAGCTATTATATTTATTGTGTATAATATAACATTATCTATTCATTCTTTTTTTTTAGGTTAATAATAATGAAATGGTTGCGTTACAACGAGAGCCTGATAACCCCTATGATAAGAATGCAATTAGAGTAAACAATGTGAATGGAAATCAGGTTGGCCATTTAAAGAAAGATCTGGCAGCTGCTTTGGCCTATATCATGGACAACAAATTGGCACAAATTGAAGGGTAATGTACATTCAGAGTTTAGCTTTAATAATTGTGAGTTGTAGTCATCTTTGAATGTGTTAGTGTTTCTTGTTAGAGCCTATACAAGTATGTTGACAGCTTTCATCACTATACCTTAGTATGTGTTTAATTATCCTCTCATCTCCCTTCACTACCCCAGCTATCAAACAGCTATCATGTCATTTTCCTATTGAATTATTACCATGGAGGAAAATAGACTTTGGTTCAAATAAAAGGAAATACACTCCATCTTTCCAGGCCTTTTGGTACATTGGTTTAGGAGTTTAGAAATGTGTGATTAAATCAAAGGCTGTAAATAGTAGCCTGTGATGAGATGTGGGTGAGTTTCATTTTGCCATCGTGGTGTTTTAGAAATGTGTTCATTTATTTTCTAGTAGTCAAATATCTAGGTACTTTATATTTTATATGTATCATTTTTTTTTCTTACATATTAAACTTATTTACTAAGATTTTTCTCTTGATAAGTGGAAGATTTGACAATACTGGACCCTCATTTCCATATGGTATCAGCTAACTGGAACTAAGTAGTTGTTCCTTTAGCTAGGGTATACACTCTTCCAGTTCTACCACCACTTTTTTTTTTTTAAACTCTCAGTCTCCTCTTGGTTATCTTTTCTTAGCATTTGTGTTTGTGATCTCAGTTGAAGTATTTGGGATGTTTAGGATATGCATATCCTAATCCTAGGTGAGTCTGAAAGATAAAATAAATACTAAGTAATGCCTTTGTTCTCTTCTTTTTCAATTGATCAGGTTTTTCAGGTATTGAGAAATTAGAAATAGTTCTTACAAATCATTACCCATCCTCCCAGTAGAAGGAGTTGCCACTCTCAGTAGTTCTGTTAGTCAAAGCTCTACCCTCTTCAATTAAACTTACTGTTTTACTTATCTTACAGTCTTGTTACAGGCTGTCCTTGTATTTTAAAACTGCTTTATCCCATCTTCTCAGAATCTTCTGGCATTCTCTTCGTAAAACCTACCCTTTTCTTCTGATTGTTGCTGATTCCATTCCCTGTCCTTTTTCTTTTTTTCCAAGTTTGCCCAACTAGTTTCTTTCTATTTTACTTCCATTCAAAATTTGAATGGCACACTTAGAACATTTAGTAGATTCTTAATGGGGTTAAAAAATAACGCTTCTAATTTTGATTTTTTCCCCTCTCCTAAATAGGGTAGTTCCTTTTGGTGCAAACAATGCTTTTACCATGCCTCTGCACATGACTTTTTGGGGAAAAGAAGAAAATAGAAAAGCAGTTTTAGATCAGTTGAAGAAACATGGATTTAAATTGGGTCCTGCACCAAAAAGTAAGTTCAGGGTTTAACTTAATAATATTTTAGTATTTTAAGATGCACAGCTTGTAAAACATTTATTCTGTCGTTGAGTTTGGTTGGCCAACCTAATTTGTGCTGAAGGCTCGAAGTGACAACTTTTTCCTGGAGTTTTTTTGAGGAAATTTCTGATTTTCTCCTTTCATCTTTATTTTGAAATAACTGCAGATTCACATATTCACATACAGAAAACTATACAAGGAGGTCCTACATACTCTCTCCTAATTTCCCCCAGTGGTAATATCTGGAAATCCCTGATTTTAAACATTTCTTTATGATAAATTTTAGACAAAAAGAATCTCACCTAATAAAGAATGAAAAAGGATTGTTTTGCAAGAGTTTGTTCAGATTAATGTGGAATTATTTTAATATTATGTTTTTTGAATAATTTGTAATTCAGCTTTAAAAAAATCTTTATATTATGGAATTTTGTTTTAAAAATTTTAATATGTTTTAGGGCCAGCCCGTGACTCACTTGGGAGAGTGTGGTGCTGATAACACCAAAGCTACGGGTTTGGATCCCTATATAGGAATGGCTGGTTAGCTCACTTGGGAGAGCATGGTGCTGACAATACCAAGTCAAGGGTTAAGATCCCCTTACCGGTCGTCTTTCTTTTTTTTTTTTAAATTTAATAAGTTTTAAAAGATACTTATTTTTTTTTTTCCTTTTTTTTTTTTTACTGACCGGTAACGGGATCGCAACCCTCGGTGTTGCACCCTTGGTATTGCGCCCACACCGCGCTCAGCCAGTGAGTGGGAACCGGTCTCCACATGGGATCTGAACCCTTGGCGGGAGCGCCGCCGCGCTCCCAAGCGGCGCACTCTCCAGTGCACCACCGGGCCGGCCCCTTAAAAGATACTTATTAAAAGAAAAACCTGTTGGTGATATTTTCCTTTTTATTTTGTGAATTATAGCTTTAGGATTCAGTTTGGAAAGTGGTTGGGGCTCGGAAAGAGCTGGGCCAAGCTATAGTATGCCAGTTCATGCTGCAGTACAAATGACAACCGAACAGGTGTGCTTCTCTTTTATTTTGTAATCTAAAAATGAATTTTAAATGTTGAATGTTCATGTTTAAAAGAGTAGGATAAATATGAATGTGCTGATATTAGTGATCTTCAGATATATTCTTAAGTTATGGTGAAACATGTAAATAAATAGAGTGTATATATTTGCAAACATTTATGTAAAAGCAGTGATAAGGAATACATAAACATTCATACATACATAAAAATACACACAACTACATAGGCATAGGATATTTTTCTATCTGAAATTTTTTAAATGTCCAAGTAGTAATTAAAAATAACATTGAAGCTTGAAACTTCTCCTTTCAGTAGGGTTGCAAATGCAGTGCTAAAACATTAACTCCAAATGTTTGGCATTCCTGTAGTTCTTCGTCTAATTTGTAGTCTAGGATACTATTATGAGGAGTTTGAAGAAATGTATATAATATAAACTAATGGTGGTCAATTTAAAAATAACATTAAAACTTTTTTGATGTCTCTACCACCACTGTTAGCCCATTTATCTACTAATTGTAGTTATATTTTCTCTGCTTATTGTTAGAAGGTCCTGAACCTATGTCTGGTAGGCAAACCACAGGTTACCTCTCCATTTTTAGAGCTGGCCTGATTTCTTCTGGGCTGCTTTTATGTATTTGTGTGTTAATTTGCAAGATTAGCTATAACACATATATGTTGCTATAAAATTGGACTAGATCAGTTTAAATAGCCAATTAAATTAGCATAATAATGAAATCATCCTAATATTTTGTAGCACATTGCTAGTTCCTTATCTCAGTAATAATAAATGAAATGTCATTGACATGAAAAAGAGTTAGATGCCCTGGTGTGACTGCTGAAATAGTTTTAATACAATTAATAGAATCATAGCATTTCAGTGACAGAAGAACTTAGACAATCTAAGTTTAGTTCATCCCTTTCATTTTACAGGAATAAAATACAGGCCCATAAATGTTAAGTGTCTTGTCCATACTTATATATTGCTTATTTGTGACAGAATTGTGACTGAAACCCAGGACATATAACTCTCTTTTCTGTATTCTTTCAAATGTAATAGTTACCTCTTACACCTAAAACACTTGTTCATACCACCTTCAGCGAGCAGTGTAGTATTTCAAAGAGTTAATTTGTTTTATGTGTCTTTTGGCATTTAACTCTTTTAGTTAATTAAATGATCTGAACTCTCTGAACTAAGTGCAATTATTATTTTAATTGGTTCATTTCACGATGTTTCTTGTTGCTGTTTATTGTAGCTTAAAACAGAATTTGACAAATTATTTGAAGATTTAAAAGAAGATGATAAAACTCATGAAATGGAACCAGCTAAGGTATTGAGCCAATATTTTCTATTTAAAACTGTTTGGAATTTTAAAATATGCTGATAATCTGTACATTTTCCATTATAAGATCAACTCTTTTACAGTACTAAATGTGAAAAAAGAAAGGACTTACTGATTTCTCTTTATATTTTATGTCTAGGCTGTTGAAACACCATTGCTTCCACATCAAAAACAAGCTCTAGCTTGGATGGTTTCACGGGAAAACAGTAAAGAACTTCCACCATTCTGGGAACAGCGAAATGAGTTATACTATAACACAATAACAAATTTTTCTGAGAAGGACAGACCAGAAAATGTCCATGGGGGGATTTTAGCTGATGATATGGGTTTGGTAACTATTTTTTTCTTCAGTTAATAAAATCTTATTTTGTGGTTATGACTTTGTAGAAAGTAATTTTGAAGTAGAAAGGGATAGGAATCTGTTGCTGCCAGTTTGGGATTTTTACTTTCAGTGTAGAACAGTTTTTCGTATGGTTTTTACTTAAGATAATACTAAGCTTTTTGTTTGGTTAAAGTACACTTGAAACAGTTAGGTAACAGTAATGGTATAAACATGTGTTGCTCATTTTCTTTGACCTGTGAAATTCAGGGTACCTGACTTTCATTGATTTTCTTTTAAAAAGTAAAAGGACAGAAGAATGTTACATGAAATTTTATTCTTTCACAAATATTGTGATATGCAGAGTATAAAGTATTTGTGATTCCTTTCACTAGCAGTTTTTATACTTTCTGGTCTCAGTAATCCTTTCTACTCTCAAAAATCATAGAGGATCTCAAAGAGCTTTTGTTTTGCAACAAAATTATCTATTAGAATTTGTAGTATTAGTCATTAAGATAAATATTTTTAACATTAATTGATTTAAAAATAATTGACAAACTAACTCATCATTTCTTAACATAAATAGCATATTTTAAAATGAAAATAACTATTTTAAAGCAATAGTTTTGGTGAGAAGAGAGGCGTTGTTTTACATTTTGGCAAATCTCTGACGTTTGGCAGCATAGGTGACAACTGAATTCTCATATCTGCTCCTTTCAATCTGTTGTGATATGTTGTTTTGATTGAAATATATGAAGAAAATTTGTTCTCACACAGATGTAGTTGTAAAGGAAGGAGTATTTTAGTTGCCATTTAGATAATTATAGATTTCTTCTTTGATACTATACTAAAATTCAGTATTGGTTTATTAAAAGTTAATGGTTATAATATGGAACTTAAAATCATATCAGTGAAATTTTTTACTTTGTTCTATTAAAATTCATTTGTGTATCTTGTACACTGAATGGATGTTTTACCCATGCATGATTTTATAACATCAGGCATTGCTCATTTAGAAAATATTGGTTCACTGAGTTATGCTAATCTGCCAAATGTTGATGCATTTCATTGTACATTTTAAAAAATTTATATTTATTAATGTTACCACTGACTTTATTAGAAAAGTGTTTACATTTTGGGAAGCTGCTATGTTCATAGTGTCAGATATAAGTTTTCCAACATTCTAATTTTTGATGGAAAACTAAAATTTTATTACTGACAACAATATGCTTGGTTGTTTCCCTTTAATATGGTGTCCTCACTTTGTTCATTTTCAAGAAAATACCTTCCAGACACTCAATCATGAGTAATGATAGTTGTCCATCATTCTTTTAACTAAAAATTCTTTTAAAAAAAAAAGTGGCTTGTTGAGCTTGCTACTCAGTCTCAAGTGATTTTTCTCTGGATAACCCTCATTTGGTGTGCAACAGAGGTATTTTATATGTACTTCCCATTTCGTTACATAGAATATTAAAAAGATGTGTACTTAAGAGGTAAGATGTAATAAAATTAGTGTGTACTGCTTCATTAGAAACATTCTAAAATAAAACTAGCTTTTCTTTTATTAGCTGTATGTGGTAGTTAAGAATATGATGACTGCTAGTATAGTGCCAACTGCTTGTTATGCTAAGGTATCAGCACGTTTTTCACCATTGCTTTTGTAGCATTAGTGCAGATGTCAACACAAATAAGGTCTTAGTAGTATTATAAAAATAGTTTTGACCTCTCATTCTCCTGAAAGGGTCCTGGGAACTCCCCAGGTGCCCGTGGACCACACTTTGAAAACTGCTGTTTTACACTGCTTTAAGATGGCTAGAGATGTATTTCTTTATTGCTAACTATAAATTCAGCTCCACTAAATATTGAAAAATTACGTTTTTACTTAATAAAAATGCACAAGAAATATTATGTCCTTTATGCTTTATTGATAGATTGTGGCTTTTCAGTCTTGGTATTATCTTTTTTTTTTTTTTTTTTTCCCCTTTTTGTCTTTTTTCGTGACCAGTAACGGGATCGCAACCCTCGGTGTTGCGCCCGTACCGCGACCGGCAACGGGATCGCAACCCTCGGTGTCGTGCCCACACCGCGCTCAACCAGTGAGCGGACTGGTCTCTATATGGGATCCAAATTTTTGTCTTTTTTCGTGACGATCGCAACCCTCGGTGTTGCGCCCGTACCGCGACCGGCAACGGGATCGCAACCCTCGGTGTCGTGCCCACACCGCGCTCAACCAGTGAGCGGACTGGTCTCTATATGGGATCCAAACCCTCGGCGGGAGCGCCACCGCGCTCCCAAGCGCCGCACTCTACCAAGTGCGCCACCGGGCTGGCCCGTTGGTATTATCTTTAAATCAAAATTAATAAAATGATTATCTCTTCATATGCATTACTGGAATTACTAATCATTTTAAATTAGCTCTGAACATCATGGCAAATGAGTTGTAAGTAGTTTCATGATAAAATTAATATTTCAGTGTTAAATATAGAATCTTAGAAGAACAGTCATTCAGTATAATGACATTTCTCAGGGATGCTTTTAGTATTTTATAGTGTAAATTACTTAATAATAATTAATGCAGTGGGGAAGACGTTTTATAATTAAATAACTCATTTTTATTAATGTGTATATTATTTAATGTAATTATCAGTACACTTTTGTGTCCTTGAATGATATTGGTTACTTGATTTTAAAATTTGTTTTGGAATGTTTTCTGGTTAACTGGGTTTCAGAATCTGATCATTTGTCTTTTAAAAATATTTTAAGGGTAAAACACTTACAGCTATTGCAGTTATTCTTACCAACTTCCATGATGGCAGACCTCTTCCTGTTGAAAGACTTAAGAAGAATCAACTGAAGAAGGTAAAGAATTATTAAGTGCACTTTCTGTAAATTGTCTGGCTTACTGTGAAACCTTTTGATGCCGTCATTAAAAAATAATTCTCAAGAAATTGGTAACATATGGTGTTTTGAGAGATGTGATGAATGGCCTTTCTTGCATTGTTGATAAGAGTGAAACTTGGTATCACATTGCTGAGAACAACTGGTAATATGTATTAAGAGCCTTAAAAGTGTTCATAATCTTTGACCCAAGTCAGTAATGCCATTTCTTTTTCTTTCTTTTTTTTTTTTTTTTTTGGTCCTTTTTGAGACCGGCCGCACCGCGCTCAGCCATTGAGCGCCCCGGCCATCCCTATATGGGATCCGAACCCGTGGCGGGAGCGCTTCTGTGCTCCCAGCGCCGCACTCTCCCAAGTGTGCCACGGGCTCTGCCCAGTATTGCCATTTCTAAAAGCTGTCTAAAGAAATGATCAGAAATCCATTTTTTCTAAAGATAGAAGTGCAAGTTTTTCCCCTAACATTGTTTTAAAGATAGATAATTTAAAATATCTCTTGATAAGGAAGTAAATTATGATATAGCCATAAAATTTAATATTATGCAACCACAAAATCTTATTTTTGAAGAATACTCACTTTAATGATATTTTTTAGTTAAAAAAAAAAATACCAGGTACAAATGTGTATATGGAGTTTGAATCCTCATTTTGTAAATACATATATGTCTGTCTTAAGTGTATTCACCCACACTATATGTACCAAAATGTTAATAGTGATAATTTATGTCCTAGTGACAAGAATATGGGTGACTTTTCTTGATATTTCAGGTATATATATTTATGTATACAAAATACCTTTTTTAAACTCTTCTGACCTGCCATTTTTCTTATGTTTTAGTTTTCAGAGAGGCTGCACATCATGTTCCTGCCACCTGCTTTTTGAGATTCTATTAATTTCTGCACTTAATTGCATTTCCTTTTTTTCTTTTTTTGGGAGTTTAACCTGTTAAGAGTCTCAGATTCAGTTGCCTATCCTGAATAGTCTAATGATTTATGTCTTGTTCTTCCTACATTTATTTAAACTGAAGTTCTAGTAGAAGCACATAACACTACTTATAGCTTCTCTCAGTTTTCAGTTGAAAAAAGATGAACTGTCAATTAGGATTTCCCTTATTTTTCCCAAGATTAGCTATATGTTTAAGGTGTGAGGACATTTAGTTTGCTACATTGGAAATGTAAATGGAAGCTGAAGATGTGATTTTCAACCAAGAATTTATTGCAACAAAGATTTCTCTATTTCAAATAGGTATTCCACAGAAACAGAGTGAAATGTTTAATTAAGTTCCTTTAGTTTATCTCTAGGTTGGACTTGGTAGAAAGTTTATCTTTGAATTCTATGAAGGAAAACCTTGCTGAGCACAATCATTTAATATAAACAATAAAGGATACCCTTTATGTGTGGCTAAACTTTTAGATTATTTTTTGCATATCGTTAAGATAAATAGTTATGCTAATTATTGAAGATTCGATAGAACATTTGATGAAAAGCATTTTTAACATTATTTCTTGGAGCTAATGCTTTAAAAGTTAACTAGATAGTAACTTCTAGTTATGTATTCATAAAAATGTTTTATTTTGTATTTTTAAATTTATTTAGATTGGTACCATTAGGAGATAAATCTTTTCAGTGTCATTTTTAGTAAAACTTAACTCTAATGGGATTTTGTAAAGTGTTTAAAATTCTACTTTTACAGATTTTTGGGGGGCTTATGTTTATATTCATGAATTTTGAAACAGAGGTGGGGTACATCTGAAAAGGGTTGGCAGGAAAATTCCTAGTGGGGTGAGACAGGAGGGCGTTAGGAGATAAATCTTTTCAGTGTCATTTTTAGTAAAACTTAACTCTAATGGGATTTTGTAAAGTCTTTAAAATTCTATTTTTACAGATTTTTGGGGGGCTCATGTTTATAATCATGAATTTTGAAACAGAGGCGGGGTACACCTGAAAAGAAAAGGGTTGGCAGGAAAATTCCTAGTGGGGTGAGACAGGAGGGCACTCTGGGACTGGTGTGTACTATTGCATCTATCTGCCCTGGGAATTCAGAGAAAAAGATGGCTATTTCAGCCTCATTAAAGATCCTAAGTAGGGAATCTTGATTTGAAAAGTTTGTCATATGGGAATTTTTAATTCTAAAGTAAATCTCATTTCATGAAATTTTTTCCACAGTAATTCATATGCCATTTATAATTGAGGTTTGCTTTTATTATTTCTTTTGAAAAGGTAAAGACTTACTAGTTTTCTTTGTTTTGAGATACCTGCGAAAAAATTTTGATCATTTGTGTTTTTTTTCTTCACTTACTCATCTCTCCTCCCACAGTTGCTCTACAATTGTGTAGCAATTTAAGTCGTCTTTATTATGTAAAAGTAAAGCAATATAAAATGGGGTGAATTTTAAATTTAAAACTGATAGCAGTACCTTTTAAGAAATATGCCTTTTCACCCAGGAATGTAATGTTAATGATGAATCTATGAAACTTGGAGGAAACAATACCAGTGAAAAGGCAGATGGACTAAGCAAAGGTAAACTTTAATTTTGAATATGACCAAGTATTTGATTTATATTTTTCCAACCTGATAATGTAATTCCAGTTTCGGCTTTGTACTATGTAAAAAGTGAGGATCTCTTTTTTTCTGAAGAACCACATGAGGACTGGTAACCAGGAAAGTTTTCATCATGGAAGTGATTGAATTGGGTGGGAGTATATCAGACAGAGAAGCTGGGAAAAAGCATCTTTGGTTGAGGAAAAAAACATCTCATGAAAGGACAATTGAAAAAAAAAAAAACAGCATGTTTTATTCTGGGACCTCAAGTGTATTTTATGGTATTTGTGATGTGCATGGATCTGTGGATTTAACATTTATGTGACCTTCACAAAATTAATTTCTGAAGATAGAGCAGAGCAAGACTGAAAATATTTTAAGTTAAGTTTAGGATAGGAGAGAGAAATAGAAAAATAGTTGGAGAGGGAGGTAGAGTTGAGGTTCTTTCTCTTTATTTTGTTAAGAAATCCATGGATAGGAAGAAATTTTGGATAAAGTGGAAGAATGATTAGTAGGCTTGTGGGAAGAAATGGGATCAAGAGAATATGCAGTAGATGAGTTAGCATTAGAAGGAAAGGAGTAAGGTTGAGGGAAAATATAGAAAATGAGGGGACAAAAGGGTAGGAAAATAGGGATTTTATAGAAGATGGCATTTGATTTTCTTTGCAAAGTGAACTAGGTCATGTGGGAGTAAAAGGAGTTAGAGTCTAGGCAGAGGATCCCGTGTAATATAGATCATTCTAGTGAATGGGTAAGGGAGCAACAGTGATGAGAAGGTTTCTCAGTGATATATGATGACAGCTGATACTTGAAAATGTAAATTTATAATAGCACCTATCTGTGGTTCTGTTTATTTTTTTCCAGCAGCTCTTAGCTGCCTTTGTACAGAAGGAAGTTCAGCCAGTGTAGAGATTGGCTGGATGACTACAGGGGAGAGACTGGGTCATAAAACATTGAAAGTACTTTCTAATGAGAAAATACTAGATTAGGGAAAAAGGAAAAAGAGTAGCTGGCTGATTTGTGAGAACAGGGGACTTGAAAGGAATGATGATATTCAGAAAATTGACAGTCAGTAATTGGAAAACCAGGGCTGGCTGGTTAGCTCAGTTGATTAGAGCTGGTGTTCGAACACCAAAGTCAAGGGTTCGGATTCCTGTTCCAGCCAGTTGCCAAAAAAACAGAAACCAAAAATAATTGGAAAAACAGGGTTTTAAGAGGAATACAGTAGTCAGTCAAGGGTTCGGATTCCTGTTCCAGCCAGTTGCCAAAAAAACAGAAACCAAAAATAATTGGTAAAACAGGGTTTTAAGAGGAATACAGTAGTCAAAGACAATTTACTAATACTATGTATGTTTGTCTTTTTCTTTGAAATAGAAGGATCCAGATGTAGTGAAGAACCTAGTATTTCAGATGTCAAGGAGAAGAATAAGTATTCCATGTCAGAATTATCTATCTCCCGCCCCAAAAGGTAAACTTTGTTGTGGTCTGATTGCGTGTGATATGTTTATTTAAACTCTCTGTTTTTTTGTATATAGGAAAGAGAGATGACCATTAAATCTCAGTTACGTAGTTCTTCCAAATATATTCTTTTATTTGAATCACCAAAATCACTATGACTTAGGCAGGTAGGGTGTTCTTATTTTACAGGTGAAGAAAAGTAATATTGATCTATAAGAGAAGTGAATTGGTAATTTTTAATAATTACCTTTCTACTGCTTTTCTTCTTATTTCTTTCATCTAGGAACTAAGATCTAGCTCCTGGGATTTTTGTTTCTGTTGAAACTTTAGAAGAGTTTTCTTCATGGATTTGAGGGGATGAAAACTGAAGAATATTTATTGGATGGCTTGATAAAAGCATTCTTTCCTCATCTGACTTCTTTGTCACTTTGCCTGTAGTGGAAATAAGATGTAATAAAGTTATTTATAGAGAGTATTACGTACATTGACTAGAAGGGCTGGAGGCAGGTCAGCTCAGTTGCTTAGAGCACAGCCTTTTAACACCAAGGTCACAGGTTCAGATCCCTGTACTGGCCAGCTCCCCCCCCCCCCCCCCCCCGGCCAAAAAAACCCTGGAAATTTGAATAAAACACATAATCCCCCTCTGATTTTACCTTAAGTCTGTTAGCTTTTTAAACTTCATTTACCCTCCGAAGTAAGTCTAAATACTAGGCTTTTTTTGTATTGTCTGCTGTCAATATCTACAGATGTGATCTCAGATCTGAATCTTTGCTAGCTATTCTACCAACAGAGGCCTCAGAACTGTGGCTTTGTTAATTGTTCTAGCAATACTAATCTGAACTGAGCACAAAACCAGCACTCATTAGTTTCCCTCTTATGTAAATCTCAAATATTATAACTTTGAGCTGACCATAAACCTGGGTCACAGAGCACTCTTAGGTGGATCAGATTAAAGTACAAGGAAATAATGATGAGGACATGGGAAAAACTAATAACAATAACCAACACATTATATTATAGTGAATACAGATATGTTGCCGTGCAACAGGTGCTATTTTAGGGGCTTTTGCATGTAGTCACATTTTATCCTATAAGGTGGATTCTATTTTTATTTCCATTTTCCAAATGAGGGAAATAAAGGCATAGAAGAATATTAGGTGACTTACCTTAAGTCACATAGCAAAGTAGCAGCGGAATGGAGATTTGAATCTAGGTAGTCTAAATCCATTGTTCTTAGCTGCTTAACCACTGTGTTATACTGTTTCTACACAAAATTTATGAAATTTTTCATTGTGAAGGAATTATATTTTCTTCTTTTGGTTGCTTGTATTAGAAGTATTTTCTTTGGTAAGAGCCAGTTCTTTTATTCTAATTTTATATAATTTTTTTTTGTTTTGTATTGGGTTTTTTTTTGTCTTTTTTTTTTTGACTGCTGGCTGGTATGCGGATCTGAACCCTTGACCTTGGTGTTATCAACACTGGTCTGACCAATTGAGCTAACTAGCAAGCCCTAATTTTATACATATGTTTTAATTAAACTATCAAACATTGAATTCAGTATTGAAATTATTACTTTTTTAGAGTGACTTAATTTTTCAAATTTATTTTAATAATGGTACAGCATTTTGCATAGTAAATGCATCTATCTAGTTATGAAAACAATGCTTTTAGCAGATTTAGCTTTCATTTGTAAAATAAGATCTCTTGAAAAATTAAAAAAAATAAACAGTGGTAAGACAAAAGCATTTGTATTGCATTTATTAAACATGTTTTTATATCCTGTTTAGTTTTCGGTTGGTAAAAAAATTTCTTTGTGTAAAATTACTTTTAGAAGAAAAACTACTATCCAGTACATTGAAAGTAGTGATTCAGAGGAAATTGAAACAAGTGAATTGCCACAGAAAATGAAAGGTAATACGTAATGGATTTGATTTGATAATGTGTCCTATATTGTAATCTCCTAAGTGTACTTATTTTTATGTTTATTTTGGTTTTGTTTTTAGGCAAACAGAAAAATGTACAGTCAGAGACTAAAAGCAGGGTAAAAGGTATGTGCAAATGCTGTCTTCTCAGTACCCATAATCTAAATTTAAAGATTATTAAAGTGCCATTGATTTGTATCTCTCTAACTTGGGATTTTTTTGTAATTGTTCTTAAACTTGGGTGATGTTTACGTTTGAACTCTTCATGGAATTTTTCATGAGTGTTAAATGAATTAAACGAATGAGGCAAATTGAATGAATAGTTTCAAATTAAAATCTAAGGGATAATATTTAAACCAGCTTTAAACAAAATAAAGTAATTTTCTTCCATTTATAAAATGACTTCAGTAAAACTGTATATGTATGTATAAAGAGTTATTACAAACTTAGGTTCAGAGTGCCTTCTTGGCAATACTATTATTAATTCACGATGTTATACAGATGTAAAAATAATCAGTGGGTATCTTTTTCCTTTTATCTTTAAAACGTGCTTTATTTTTCCTCTAATTCAGATCATATTGTATTTCTAATTAGTTGAGAAATTGTATTGCTTTTGGAAAATAACTGATCACTACTTGACGTACCTGAAAATTTGGCAGCCTCATCATTAGGAATCAAATATTTGTTTTCCTGAAAAATATCTCCTTCCACCTGAGAGCTGAATCACTTTGCATTTGGCTGCTCTTACCTTCAGTTCTATTTCTCAAGAGAAGCGAGTGTCTTACCATGAATTGACTGTGTCACTTCTCTGAACTGGAGAGGTGGCAATTTTGGTTACTAAATATTATTTTAATTTTACTTAATAATATAAGCTCTTAAGATAGTGTAAAAAGTGGTATTCTAATTCCTGTCCTCAGAAGGTATTTGTATCTAAGCACAGGAGAGAATTAATTTAAAATATCTTAATGACTTTGTGGTTTTTCTTCAGCAGGATCTTCTAAAGTTAAAGAAGATGTAGCATTTGCATGTGCGCTTACTTCATCTACCCCTGCAACAAAAAAGAAAATGCTGAAAAAGGGTCAGTAAATTTCTTGGTTTTTAACCTTTGTTTTGTTTTTTTCTATTTTTCAATGAAAAAAATTAAATTACAAAAGTTATAAAATCATATTACAAGAAGTTTAAAAAATTGAGAAAAGAAGAAAATACATAATCTCATTAAAAAAGCTGCCTCTTCATGCGTTTTCCTTCTGGTGCGTTTTCTATTGTATTTGTTTTAGTTAGGCCAAAATATGATTGGGGGGGGATGATCCTTCCTCTGAATAGCAGAGGTATTTCTTCTAGTGAAGGCACAATGCAATTTATGGTTGCTTTAATGCTTAATTTAATTAGGATTAATTTAAATTATCTTAAAAGATTTAATTTTTGATATGATTAGAATTTGCTTTTCGGGCCGACCCCGTGGCGCACTCGGGAGAGTGCGGCACTGGGAGCGCAGCGATGCTCCCGCTGCGGGTTTGGATCCTATATAGGAAGGGCCGGTGCGCTCACTGGCTGAGCGTGGTGCGGGTGACACCACACCAAGGGTTGCGATCCCCTTACCGGTCATGAAAAAGACAAAAAAAAAAAGAATTTGCTTTTCATTTAAGAATGTTAGTGGTCTTTACTATAATTTCATATTCTGTAATTCATAGGAAAACAACACTGCTTAAGAGTCTAAATAATTTGAGATCGAAAGAGATCAAAGTAAGATTAAGGAGACTGGGACAATTTATTTCTCTGTACCTTGTTCTCTTTTTTACATGTTGGGGATATAGCAGACAAGGTCTATTTTCATGGAGTTCTTATTATAATCTCATAATGGGGGAAACATAATAAACAAGTAAACACATTTTGAGTAATAAGTGATGTGAAGAAAATAAAGGAGGATAATGAAATAAAAGATTGAAATAAAGATTGATCTGAAGGGGCCTGTTTAAGAAGGTGATATTTGAGCTAATACAGAATCATGGGAAAGAGCCAACATTTGGTCTAAGAATCAAATTAGGAATAGAAGATATAGGCATTTCAGATGGATTACTCTTGACCTTAACTTCAGAAATTTAAAGAAATGTGGAGCTTTCAGTTGAGATAAAATTAATTTTACACACAGAAGCCCCTTTCTGTTGCAGATTAAAAAGTCATTTGGCTTTGTTAAAGCCAAAATAAACATATCTCTGGAAGAGAAGCAGGATAAAAACAAAAAACAGTGAGTAGAGATGGAAACCATAGTAATGCTGGGCCTTGTGGTAGATAGTGATTTCTTTCATAAGACACAAAAAAGTCATAACTTAAAGATTGCTTAAATTCTAAATTTTAAATTTCCGTGCATCAAAAGATACCATAAAGTGAAAAATGACATGGCTAAAGAAGATACGTGTGATAAGCATTAACTGACAGGATTAGAATCCAAATCATGTAAGAACTCCTTGTAAGTCAATTAGAAAAAACCAACCTAATGAGAGAGTAGTCAAAAGATGTAAGCATGCAGTCCATAGAAAGAAAATCCAAATAACCAATAAACAGCAAAAGATATGCATTAATCATTGGGAAAATGCAAATTAAGGGAATGGTGAAATGCAGTCTCACCCATGAAATATTTTCAGACATTTAAAAATCTCACATGCCAGGTATAGGCAAGGTTGTGCAGCAGTAGGAACTCTCACACACTATGTGTGGGAGTGTTAGTTACCATGGAGAGCACCTAGGCAAAAATATAATGAAGCTGAAAGTAAACCACCTAGAACCTACAGATGTACAAGGAAACATGAAAAAAGGGTTTTTATTGTAGCCTTCTTTTAGTGAAATACTGGAAATAATGTAGTTACTGTTCAATAGGAGAATGGAAAATAAATCGTAGCTACTTATGCAATTTAATGCTATATATTGGTTAAAATGAATGCACGAGAGCTACAAATGTTAAGGATAAATCTTAAATAGACAGCATTGAGAGAAAACAAGTTGTGGAATGATACATAGATCCATGTATACACATTACGTATGGCTTAAAATCACTTAAACGTATATGTTGTGTATGGATATAGTTGGCAGTAAATCTATAAAAACATCCAGAGGAAGGATACACAGCTTCAATTTGACAAAATGCTTGCTTATGAAAAGAAATCTGAAGCAAATATAGGAAAATGTTTACGTGGGTCGTTAGTAAGTACATGGATGTTCATTGTCAGTGTTCTCCAGTTTTTTTTGTTTGACTTGTTTTATTACAAATTAAAAGTTTGTGCATAATTATAAGTAATAAATGTATCTCCAGAAAAGTCGTAGTCCATCTTTCCGCTGATTTTTATCTCTTAAAATTTTAGTAACAAGCTTCCTTCTGTCTGTTCTGCTTTGGGCTGATGAAGAGATAGCATTGACTATAAAAACATTTTAGGCTGTAGAAAAGAGGCATATCAGATACTGAAGGGAGTACATATGGGTTCAGGTTACATTTACCTCTCTGTTGAACTCCCCAAAAGATGGAAGTGTTTTTATTTTACAGAATTTCTTATCCAAATGAAATAAAAAAAGAGCTCTGAATTTAAGGGATTAGTTAAGTCATTAACTACTGAGCAACAGAATCCTCAATTTATGGAACTTGAAGAGCATTATACTATGCTGGAGTTTTTGACTGTTTCCATTTGGCGTGATATTGCCAAATCAGAGGAAATCAGCTGTCTGTTGAATGAAAAAAATGTTAGATTGTAAGAATAATAGCGTAAGCATAGTGTCCCAGTTCATGATGATTACATAATAACATGTCTCCATTGCTAAAATTAGCCTTCATATTAAGCAACAACTAAACATTTTTTTAGAAATAACAACCTGAAAGATAGTACTGGGTGAAGATTTCTAGAAAGAAACCTTTATGTTTAGGTGATGAAAAACTGAAAATAAGAATTTCCAAGCTCCCTAGCAACTATTTGTTGAAGGACTGCTTTCTCCAACCCACTTTCCTGGATCTTTGCTTGGCTTGTTTTCTCACTTCATTTAGGTTTCTGATCATTTGTCATCTCAGAGAGCAATACTTTCCCTGTCCCTTACCCCCAAACCTACTCCCCTGTCCCACAGTTTCTGTACTCATATCATACTTGATTATTTCTTCTTACTACTTATCAATACTTAACATTACTATCTATCTGTATGTATAGCCTACCTCCCCCGTTAGAATGTAAGCTGTATAGATGTAGGGACTTTTTATTCACTGCTATATCCCCAGCCCCTACCACAGTGTTTGATATGGACCATGAGTTCAATAAATTGTTGAATAAATAGGCATGTAGTATATCTTTACAATTTTCTAAAAATTGCAGTGAGAGCTATCTTATCAGGTAACCACACACCAACGATATAAGTATAATACTTTATATATTCCTTTTCAGTATTTTTTTTAGACTTTGAGTAGAACACGGTATTAGTAATATTTTAGTAGTTGATTTATATTCTCATTAAAATCAGGGAAACATGCATCTCTGAGCTAGCTTTTATTTTTGTTTTAAAATAAATAATTGAACTGAAATTTCAGCACACCAGTTATTCTTGGTAGTTTTTTTTTTTGTAAATAGCATCTAAATGTTATTCATAATGGTTTTATTCCTTTGCTTTTGAGACTTCCCCTTCTCCCTTCTACTAATGCCATACAAGCAATTCTGGACCCTTTTCAGAAGAGTGTAGACACAGAAGGATCTGCTCGTAATCTAGAATCAAGTTCTGTCACCCCACCAAGCAGCTCTTTCAAAGCAAGGAGTTGTTCTGTGACTTTTTTGGTTCACTGTGGTCAGAAAGGAAGGATAGTGGTAATATCCAATCATAGTTCTATTATTTCATTGGGAACAGCTTCAGTGGATGGTGTGTCTCTGTCTAATAGCAATATTAGGACAGTAGATAACTGATTTGGGGGGATAGATTTCTCAGAAGAATTTGGGAGTATTACATATTCCACTTTATTCAATGATAATTTATCTTTTTGGGAAACGGCATAGAATTTGTTGTGACTTGCTTAATAAAAATAGTTTATTAATTTTATATTTTTTTTTTCAAGAGAGAACAAAATCCTTTTGTAAGACGCAGGAGTTGTCTTATGAAGTGTTTTATCTCTCTCCAAATATAATAGTATTGTTAGTGTTTTTTTTTTTAAAAAAAGATGACCGGTAAGGGGATCTTAACCCTTGACTTGGTGTTGTCAGCACCACGCTCAGCCAGTGAGCTAACCGGCCATCTCTATGTGGGATCCGAACCCGGGGCCTTGGTGCTCTTAGCACCGCACTCTCCCGAGTGAGCCACGGGCCGGCCCGTATTGTTAGTGTTTTGACTTGAAGTTATTTTCTTCTTATATCAATTAAATATTTTATATGGGCTGGCTGGTTAGCTCAGTTGGTTAGAGTGCAGTGTTGTGACACCAAGGTCAAGGGTTGGATCCCTATACTGGCTAGCTGCCAATATATATATATATATTATGATCTTTGGAAATTGAATTTTGTTTGTAACCAAGGACCAATTTTACCTTTGATCACCATCAATTTTAATTTTGACATTACTGTGAAAATAGAATTTTTTTTAAAAATTGCATTTTAACTAAGTTTACTGGGGAAGATACTCCTTGTAGACTTGTAGAGTATACTGGCAAGGGATACCAGCTCTAGAATTTATCTCAAAAATTTTTGTTGTAAGCATATTGGTTACCTATTACTGTATAACAAATTTCCTTGAAATTTAGCCATTTAAAACCAGACATTTATTATCTTGCACATTTTGTGAGGGTTAGGAATCTGGAAGTGGCTTAGCTGAGTGGTTATGGCTAGTGGTCTTATGAGGTTGCAGTCAAACTGTCCTTCAGGGCTGCAGTCACCTGAATATTTGACATAGGGAGGATCAAATTCCAATTCTGTGTGTCAGACTCACGTGGTTGTCGACAGACCTTGTTCCTTGCTGGCTATTAACTGGTCCTCAGGGATGTGTGTCCTTCCATAAACTGCCTGAGTGTCCTCACAGCATCGCATCTGGCTTCCTTCAGAGCAAATGATACATGAGAGAGACAGGGAAGAAGAGGGAAAGAGTACACCCGACATGGAAATTTCATCTTTTATAACCTAATCTTAGAAGTGACGTGCTATCATTTCTGCCATATACTGTTGGTCACACAGAACAACACTGGTGAGTGTGGGAGGGGACTACATCAGGTGTGAAGATGAAGAAGTGGAGATCATGAGGGCCATCTTGGAGTCTGGCAACCACATTAAGTATAATACAAATTCAGAAAACTGCAAAAACATGTACATCTTAATGAATGACTATAAATATGAGGAGATACTATAGACTTCCTATTTGTATCCCCTTGCAATCAAAATCCTCTGGTTCTTCCCATAAATAATCACTATCTGTACTCTTGGTTTTTTAAGTGACAAAATAAAATTGAGTTCCTGTTGCTTCATCATGGCTGGAAACAGTCCATCTGCTTCATTTTAATTCTTCCTAATTTCTCTTTTCATGGAGGTACATTATTGTCATCTTATTGAAACGTTTTATTTCAGAAGAACAAAAAAAACAGCTAAGGGCTGTGTCAATGATTCATTCTTTTAGGAGCATCTGCAGTGGAGGGTTCAAAGAAAACTGTTGAAGAGAGACCAAGAACAACACTGATCATCTGCCCACTTTCTGTGTTAAGCAACTGGATTGTAAGTCTTTAAAGCCCTTTAAAAATGTGATATAATTTATGTTTACCTTATAAAAAGTATTATTCTGTTAAGGAGTCATTCATAGGGAGAAATATGCCTGATCATCATTTTATATCTAAGTTCAAATAATTTTAGGTGAGTTGTTGTTATATTTGCAGAGTTGAAGTAATTTTTCTTTGAAGATATGTACTGGAGAAAGTAAAGAAAACCATCAATTGCTAACATAAGATTTGGTTTGTGTTTCTGCCTATACCATTTTTGTTGCCCAAAGTGGGAAAAGTGTATAGTTTAAGACTCTAATATTTACAAACTGACTCATGGAATTCCTTTTTCTAAGAAGTCCACTATCAGTAACTTATTTTTATGACAGTATGTAACATTTAGCTCCTATATGCTTGGTTTCATGGATTTTCCTCACTTAATCCTCACAACTATTCTCATTTTACAGGTGACCCAGTTGAAACACAGAGAGGTTAAGTAACTTGCCTAAGGTCATCCAGCTAATTAATGATGGAGCTTGGAAATAGTGTCCAGAATCTATGCTTTTGAGGCTACCCACTAGAAAATACTCTCGTCCCCAGAAGATTGCTTTTGTGTTCTAAAATATTACTGTTGTAATTGAACCTCTTTATGTGTTACGTGTGTAAGGAGCTGAATGGTTCTGTTTCCTTTCCAGTTTGCATTTCAAACTTCATGTTATAATGAAATAATAACTCTTGGAAGCACTGTGAACATAAGGACCACTACATGTGGACTTCCATTCTTGCCACCTCCAGGGTTATCTTTATCCTTCCCGGTCTTTCCTCCTCTTATTTCAAAGGAGGAAGAAGTCCTACTTTTTGAAAGATTATTAGTTTATACATTTGATTTCATCTTTTCCTGCCTTTGTTTTTAATCCATTCTTTATTCCGTCACCTGGTTATTCAGTCTCTTCTCACTGGTTCTTTCATGAAACATACTTGGGTCTTTTTCATTTAAAATATGTTCTCTTGATTACGTCTCACCTTTAAGTTGCTTCTCTTCTGCTTTCCTTCAGTGTCTTAGGGGTTAATTTCTACTTTGTGCTTTTACTTACTAATTCCTTAACTCATTGTAATCTGGCTTCTGACATCAGTTCTCTAAATTGCATTGGAAAAAATTACTAGTGATTGTCTAATTATGAAATTCAGTGGCCTTTTCTTGACTTTATATAGCCTTTTCTTCTTTACTCTATGTAGCCTTGCCTTCCATGACATGACTTATCTTTTCACAATAAGTTTCTGGTTTATTTATTTTTTTAAAAAAGAAATCACATCTTTTCAGGGTTACTCTATTATCACTTTTCCTCTTTGGACCAGAATGAGTTTTAGTCAGCTCTTGCTCTTTTTTTTTTTTTTTTTTTTTGTTCCATCATATCTGTACTCTTGATGTGTGGTTTGTCCTGAGAAGGGCAATACCTGGGTACTTGAAAGGCAGTTTTCAGGGTGAGGTTTAATGGAGATATCAACAGTAGAATTATGATTCTTTAAGGGCTTTGGGTGTGTTGATATTTTTTTTTTTTTTTTTTTTTTTGGTTCCATCATATCTGTACTCTTGATGTGTGGTTTGTCCTGAGAAGGGCAATACCTGGGTACTTGAAAGGCAGTTTTCAGGGTGAGGTTTAATGGAGATATCAACAGTAGAATTATGATTCTTTAAGGGCTTTGGGTGTGTTGATATATTTTAAAAATGGGTAATCATTATTTCATTATAACTTATATTGGGAAAACAATAAAGGTTTGGATAGTGTAAGCTTTAGAAAGGAATCTTGTGAATTTAAAGGAATGATGGATGGTTGGGCGTATAGGAGTTCATGGTCAAGAATTAGATTTTACAATTTCTCACAAGCTACTCTCTTCCTAACTCCCAAGTAAATGACCTAGCATTTTAAAAACAGTTTGGAACTAATTTATCTTTATCTTTATATTTATCTCTTTTTGTCTTCAAGTAAGGAAAAGAATCCAGTTAAGTGAGTAAGGCTTGTGTATCAATTTCACTTCCACCACACAATAGTTCCACCACACAAGTCACTTAACCTTTCTTGAGATAATACCTGTCTTATTTTCTGTTGAGAGAATATATGTATACACATACACACACACAGAGCCTAGTACAATGTCTAGAAACACAGTAACTATAGTTCTTTCACTTTTTTCTCTAGAAAAGTTCTTTTTCTTCTATTCCAAGTATAATCCATTTACAAATATGCTCTGTTCCATTTCAAGGCCATCTATTGATCTGTTTTCTTATATTAGATTCTGTTTCATACTGGATCCTATTCTGCCTCCTTTTCTTCTTTATCAGATTTCTTGAAAAAATTCTCTATGTTTTCACTTTTACTATTTCATGTTTAATTCTCTCTTTAGCCCACAGTAGTCTGGGTTTTGCTCCAACCCTTTATAGAAACTCTCTCTGCAGAGACCTACAGATCTCATTGTTGCCATGTCTAGTGAGCTCCCCTTTTCTTTTCCTCTGCCTTATGTTACTCATATACTACTATTTTTTTAAGCCATCTCTAAACCTTGTAAAGAGAGGGTATGAACATAAGTCACAAATTAAAAATCTGCCTTCTTTTCCTTCTTGGAACTTTAATATTCTTTGGCCTCTAGACCATATCTTTTGTGTTTGCTACCTTAACTTTCTGACCATTGTTTCTCTTTGTTCTAATTTTTATTAAATCTGCCTTCCCCGCCCCAAAGTGTGTTTTTTTTTAAGTATTATAACAAATTTTAATGAGAACTTCATTTATTCATCACGATTCAAGAATTATCAAAAGTCTGCAACATTTGCTTTCTTTGTCTTTTGCTGGAATATTTGTAATCATATACCAGCCATCATGTCATTTCTACCAATGATAAGCTTGCTCTTTAAGTAAGTATTGCATTTTGTAGGGTCTGTCCCTAACCCTTTTCTTTTCTCATTGTACCTGTTCTCCTTAGGAAGTCTCATTTGTTTCTATGACTTCACATACTGTTTGCTGTTAACTTTAAAATTGATATCTGTACCTTTTACTCTTGCACATATAGGTCAATGTTTACATTTTCCTAGTATCCTTCTGTGCTCAGGTATTTTATAATGACCAGAAATACTAATAAATGCTTAAAATACTCATCTCTTTCTCACCTTTATGCCTGCTTTTCCCTTATTTTAAACTTTTCTGTCTTTATAATGCAGTTCTTCCAGGCAGTCGTTTGAAATATCAGGTCATCTTCTCCTCCCAACCCCCCCTTTTTTTTGTCTTTTCCCTTTTTTTCATATCCCATATTTAATTAGTCCAAAAGTCATCAGTCCCTCTTTTTGAGTATCTTCTTTTCACACCCGTCCTTTCCATTTTGTTCTACTTCTACCATTCTGGTTTAGGGCTTTTATTATCTCTCACCAAATAGTTTCCAAGCTGTGTCTCCCTGGTGTCTTCTCTTTGCAATCTAATTATGATTTTTTTTCCTGCTCAAAATCTCCCAGATTTGTTGTTTTCATGATCAAAAAACCCAGAAAAACCTCAAGTTTTAAAAACTGATTATGTTCTCAAGAAGGGCAGGGATGACTAAGTTTTCCTTTTAGTTACACCACCCTTGTAGTTGATACCTGGCAAATAGAAGGCCTATAATAAGTGAATGAAAGTGGGTACTGTGCTAGAATCTCTGCCTACATTGTTAGAACTAGTAGTTGCTGTTCTTTTACTGTTTAGTCTTGATAATTACCAAGTCTACTAACTAATTGGGAGCATTAGAGAGTCTTTTATTAAAGTATTACAGTTTTAAAAATCTAATTACTGTTTTTATATAATTTATTATTATTATTATTATTTATGTGTCAGTTTTCTTGACAGTATAAAAATAATCAGTACTGTTACTATCATTGTTGTTAGTTTAGATTGTAGGAAGCTTTATATCATGCAATTTTAGTAGTTTGATTTGTGACACTACTGCCAGGACGGGACTTCCTGTATATTAAACCTGATACTAATCTGTTTATTATTTAAAATATTTTTAATTTTCTTTTAGGACCAATTTGGACAACATATAAAATCAGATGTACACTTGAATTTTTATGTTTATTATGGTCCTGATCGTATTAGAGACCCAGCCTTGCTTTCAGAACAGAATATTGTTTTGACTACGTACAATATTTTAACTCATGACTATGGAGTAAGTATGCTGATACATAAGAGATTTTTAAAGATTGAATTTAAGAAATATGTTTCAGGTTTCTAACATGTTCTAAAATTCAGGCCTTATACTCTTTTTCTTTCTATATAATTAAGAATATATAGAAAATAAATAGGAAACTATTTTAACACTGTAAAAAAAAAAGATTGTACCTTTTTTAGATACTAGTTTAGGAATTTTATATTCAGAACATTTTAAGTTAAAATTTCATATTTTAATTGTAACTAAGTATATATAGCAACTTGTAAATGAATATTTTCTTTTTTAATATTCTAGAAAATTAATATCTTAGTCTAAAAATGAGCTTTTTTGTAGCTGCAATTCATGAGTTTCCCGATTCTTCTAGGAGTCTAATTGTTGTTTACGTGTATAATTCCAGTTGTTCAGTAAAAACATTTTGAAAGTACCTGATTGTCAAAATGTCAATCTTTTGGTAAGAACATTACCTTTTGTATAAAAGAAAATAATGCTGTTTGTTTAAGTAATTCTTACAACTGACAATTTTATTATCATTGCTATGTTTTAATTTGAGTCAGAATAGTTCAGTGTTTGGGTTTGAATGCTAGCTCTGCCACTTCCTAGCTGTGGTACTTTGGGCAACATACTTAGCACCTTGTGCTTCAATTTTCTCATCTAAAATAGGGGTAATAATAATACTCACTTCATAATCTAATATTTAATAATTTAATGTATGTAGTTCTTAAAGCAGTGGCTGGCACATGGTGTTGATATTAGCAACTATTATTTAGCGAGTTACATTAAGTACTATTTTACTTTCCTGTGTTTTTAAATTCATGTGAAACATTTATTTCAGACTAAAGGTGATAGTCCATTACATAGCATAAGGTGGTTAAGAGTGATCTTGGATGAAGGACATGCCATACGAAATCCAAATGCTCAACAGACAAAAGCTGTACTTGATTTAGAAGCAGAAAGAAGATGGGTCTTGACAGGTAATCATAGCATTAAACTTTTAAAAAAATTAATTCTCCAAAATGTATCATAAAGTAAGTTAGTGAGGTAACTTTGTAAACTGCAAGTGGATATAAAATCTGTCCCAAAATTAATCATAGACATCATTTAATAAGATGTTTTGATTTATTTGTCATAATTGACCATGATATAACAACATTTGAATTATAGTTAATTTATGGAACAATCACTAGAGTTATTCTTGAACATTGGAGATTGAATAGACTCTCTAGTCCTCCGGTCAGAATCTTGATTTCTTAGTTGCTCATCTTGGAGGCTCTGTGCTACTCATGATAGCTTTACTAGAAGGTGGGAAAGAGGAGTTACTTGCTTTTTTCTTCTTGCTAGTGCTGCTGATTTATAAACCAAATAGGCAGATGTACTTGATAAGGAGAAAGTTGAATTTACTGGGTCTGTCATCTTTTTCTCTGTTAGTATGGCAATGAGAGCTAAAAATTAGAGCAAAACTGTTATTTTTAAGTGTGTATATGTTTAACAAAGGATTATAGTCACTGCTTGATGGTCAGTGGTGTGCCTGGTACACCGCCCATTTTCAACTATTGTCTTCTCTGATTAGGCTAGATGGATATTCTTATTGGATATTGTAGTTAAAGATTTATATGTTTTCTGTTGTTTTTAGGTACTCCAATCCAGAATTCTTTAAAGGACTTGTGGTCTCTTCTTTCTTTTTTAAAACTTAAACCATTTCTTGATAGAGAATGGTGGCATAGGACAATACAGCGTCCTGTCACGATGGGAGATGAAGGAGGACTTAGGTAAGTAATTACATGACAGCTGATTAATATTAGCTACAAATAACTGTTAGCAGTTTAAACCACTTGTCACTTTCATTACTATTTTAACCTGACTCTTGACTTTTCTCTCCAAAAAGTGTATGTCTGAATGCCTTTGACTCTCAGAACCTAGTGATTCTTATTTGGGGAGACACAGATTACTAATTACCAATAAGTCTTCTTCCCCTGATTTTAGTCAAACTGAAAGGGAAGGTGGAACTCTGTGGTCTTTGTGTGCTGCTATTACCCTCAAAACCACCAGTAATAGTGATTCAGCAGTGATAGGAAAAGTTTCATATCCTTTTAGGATCCAGTATGCATTAAATTTTCATAACTTATGTAGCTTTGTATAGAGGTGATTGATGTGCTGTACAGTGGCATCAATGAAAGTTTTATATGGTTGTATCTGGTGGTGGCTAATAAAAGTTGAGAATATAAATAAAAGCTCAACTTGGCAGTAGCCATTTTGCAAGCTGCTAGGCTAATGTGGTTCAAGTTTTTTGTCTAGAATAGTAGTTTTTAAACTGAGGCTTTTGGGATCCATTAGTTGTGAAATCATTGTAAAGGTGGTAGCCAGCATTAAAGAAGAAAATTAAATAGAGTTGAAGAGATGAGAAAATAATCAGTGCATCATACATAGTACATGGTATTTATTGTATTGTGAAATGTTTGTTTCTGTTATATGTGTATGTGATGTTTGCTGGATGGAGTAAAATGTATTTTCACTCTGGGTTATAGTGAAAAAGTTTCAAAAGCCACTAACCTAGTTGGCAGTACAGTTCACTTGATTCCTTAGAACTGTTTAAAGTCTAAGAAATTGAATTTTTATTTCAGTTAGGAGAAACCTTTTCTTAAAGAATTGATATGCTTCCTTTTTTTCTGATACTGAGAAGAAAATGTAAAGATTGCGGAAACTAGAAGGCATTTCTCTCTCTTCTGAATTCTCATATCATGTTTTTATTTTGGGGGCACCCATTACTTTATAACAATTATTTATTTTCATATTACGGAAGGTGGGATCTTAATCATATTTGCTTTACAACATTTAGTTATAGTGCCATGCACTTAATAGGTGTTTAGTAAGAATTTGAGTGTTGACTGTTGGGTGATATAGTTGACAAGACAGTTGAGAAGCTAAGGGTTAATGATTAGAACAAAAATGGGGAGAAGAGCTTAAGAAAAAAAGTAAGAATAGAATATAAGAAGATTAAACTGGTATTCAGTTGAGGGGACATTTCAGTGCATTTGTTGCTATAATTTTCTTATTAGTAAAATGCTTCTTTGTTTATCAGATTGGATAAAACTCCAATCCTTATTTAAGGGACTTTTTTTTTTTTTTAAACAGCTGGCTGGTACAGGGATTGAACCCTAAGCCTTGGTGTTATCAGCACCATGCTATAACCAACTGAGTTAACTGGCCAGCCCTCAAAATATGGGAATTTTAAAAAACCTTTACTAAGGTTATAAAACAGTAATAAATTCATATATTCTTTCTTTGTTCTGAATGGATCAAGTTCTATAAAAATTAAAAGTTTTGTAATTATTTGTTTTATTTTGACTAGGCGTTTACAGTCCCTAATTAAAAATATTACACTTAGAAGAACAAAGACAAGCAAAATTAAAGGAAAACCTGTTTTGGAGTTACCAGAACGTAAAGTATTTATTCAGCACATTACGCTTTCAGATGAAGAAAGAAAGATTTATCAGTCTGTGAAAAATGAAGGCAGAGCTACTATTGGAAGGTATTGAGAAAGAAAGCCATATAAGAAAAGAATTTTTGTTTTCTTTCTTTGTTTCCCATGAGCTGAATAGCATTTTTTAGACATGTTAGCAATAAAGTCTGAAGTATACTGAAAGATAATTTGCTTCTGTGATTTACTCTGGTTTTTACAAATTAATAGTTGAGTGAAATGAATGAAATTACAGTATAATTCACCAGGTAAGTTATTCTTTAAGTTAGGAAAAAATTTAAAAGTTTTCATAAAATAGCAAGTTCTGAGTTGCCAGTCAAGAGAACTTGCTTGCTTCTATTTCTGACTTTGTGCCATGGGAGTAGCTAAAAAACATTGAAAAAAGTAGAGAAATGGTTACGGAACCCCAGGAAAAATAGCATGGTAGAATTTGCTTTTCTGTTTTTCATTCTTGTTTTAGACTGACTTCCAGAGAAGAAGAGAACAATTGCATTTTACTCCACTGTTTTAGAACAGGAAATTATTGTTGTTCAGAGGACTTCATAATATTTGACATTTTCATCTCTAGGTATTTTAATGAAGGGACTGTCCTTGCACACTATGCAGATGTCTTGGGTCTTTTGCTTAGATTGCGGCAGATTTGTTGTCATACTCATCTTCTTACAAATGCGGCATCTTCTAGTGATCCCTCAGGTAAGTAAATGTGATTAGTTCATACTATTATACTTGTTAGAGATATTTAAGTCAGAATGAGAAATTTTATGTATGGCCTAAATTTGGTTTGTTATTTTATTCTCTCAAATGGACATTGTTCTTAGTATTCTAGTGATCCCTCAGGTAAGTAAATGTGATTAGTTCATACTATTATACTTGTTAGAGATACTTAAGTCAGAATGAGAAATTTTATGTATGGCCTAAATTTGGTTTGTTATTTTATTCTCTCAAATGGACATTGTTCTTAGTATAAGACTCAACTGGGAATATACTCACGAATTTTTTACCAACAAAATGGAATTACAGACAGTCCCTGACTTCTGATTTTTTGACTTTATGATGGATTTATTGGGATATTAAATGAATTTTTGACTTAAATAGTTTTGACTTACAATGGGTTTATCAGGACATAACTCATCTGTATAATGAGAATTTGTCTATATAATTAGGCCTTTCCAGGATTTCCAGTGATAGATACTCTCAGACAAAAGGTTTGAATTCAAGCTGCCTTTTGTTCTGTGCAAGTGCATGCAGATCATCTTATGATGATGCTTCTATATGAGATATATTATGTGAGTTGGCTATTATTTTGGCTTCTGAGTTTTTCTTAAAATTTCAAGTTTAAACCATGCTTTTTCCTATGACAGAAAAAAGATGAAAGATTACCATACTGGCAAGCAAAATTTTTCTTTACATAAGGTAGATTAACTTGTCTAGTCCTATTACAAATCTTGCTCTGAAATTAATTTTTCAGCCTTTTCTCTAGGAAATGATACACCTGAAGAATTGCAAAAGAAGTTAATAAGGAAGATGAAGTTAATTCTGAGCTCAGGTTCAGATGAAGAATGTGCAATTTGCTTGGATTCTTTAACAGTTCCTGTGATAACACACTGTGCACATGTATTTTGTAAACCCTGTATTTGCCAAGTTATTCAAAATGAGCAGGTTAGTTTTTTGCCCAGGATAGGTTCAGTGTTTGTTGGAGTGGTGCACCTGTCCTTACTTTAATGAAAACCTAAGTGCAGGAGAATAATAGGAGTTTTGCACTTAGACGTAATAAGGAACCTTTTGTGGTTAATGATTCCAGTATTTTAATAGGTGATATATTTCTCATAATCTCTTTTAACATAAAAAGATGTTAATTCTCGAAGGCACTGTTTCACAGTCAGTATCCTAGTTTCACTAACTGTTTAGATCATTGGTGTTTAATGAATAGAATAATAATGTGAGAGACAAAGTAATTTTGAATTTTCTAGTAGCCATATTTTTAAAAAGTAAAAAGCTTGAAGTTAAGTTTAGTAATATATTTTTATTTAACCAAATATCTAGAATATAAAAAGTATTAATGTAATATATTACATGCTCTTTTTTAAAACTAAGTATTCAAAATCTGGTGTTATTGTACATTTATAGCACACCTCAGTTTGGTTTAGCCACATTACAAGGGCTTTACTGCCCCAAGGGACTATTGGCTATTGTATCAAATGAGGTAGGTCTAGATTCTTTTGTGTGGTAGAATTTTTTGGAAGTGGAATAATGCTTTAAGCAGTCCTTCAGTTAGGGTAGAATATATTTTTTAACATTTTTAATTGATATATAACATACATGTAGAAAAAATACACAGATCATGATAGTACAGCTTAGTGAAGTGAATGCATCCATTTACCTAATACCCAGGTCTCCTTGTATCCCCTCCCAGTCATTTTTACACTCTCCCACCTCCCAAAAGGTAATCCTACTGAACTGATTTCTAACATAGTTTTAGTTTCAGAATTTTTTTTTTATTGTAATGGTGTTTGGTATCTAGTTATTTAAAAGATAATGTTACTTTATTAGCAGGTCTTGGTATCAGTGGATACAACAGATGTTCTTTTGAATGAACGTTACAGGATTTAACAGATCTGGATAGCTTTTCAAGCTGTTATAAACTTTATAAGATAATCACTTTATGAGCTATTAAGAAGGAGCTTTTTTTTTTTTTAAAGAATAGTTCCAAATAGTGTGTTATATTGTAGTTAGTTTCAAGAAATTGTTATTCATGATTTCTTTACTTGCGTGAAAATGGTATAATATCTAGTGTTTCAGGCTCTTGCTGCTGCTAGTCAAGGTCACATACTTTTGCTTCCTCCTTTATCCATTCTACTTATCACATTAGAACACTATATGTGTAGAGCTTAACATGTACAGATTTATCTCAAATGGATGCACTTAATAAAAGGTTTAATAAAAAATTATAGCTATAAGAGATACAGAATTTACCGTACATTTAAAAAATTTTAGGCAAGTTTATATTTCTGTTCCTCTGATAAATGTCACTCATACTTTGTTCTTATATAGCCACGTGCTAAATGCCCTTTATGCAGAAATGATATACATGAAGACAATTTATTAGAGTGTCCTCCAGAAGAATTGGCATGTGACAGTGAGAAAAAGTCTAGTATGGAATGGACATCCAGTTCAAAGGTAAAATACGTGTGCAAATATTTGAGTGTTTTACATTTATATAAGGAAATACATGCTCTGTATCAAAACAGTAGTTCTTTTAATCCTGTCATTTGAATATTACGTTATACTCATGGCTTCTGACTTTTTGTTTATTTTTAGTGGTGAATTTGAGAGGAAAGAGAAAGGGTTCAGATTATTATAGTGTTCTTTCAAGTCTTAATTTTTTAAAAAAAGTCTTTAGCATTTTAGGGAAATAACATGATGGGATCTTTCTCTTCATAATAAGACATTTTTGGGACTTATTTTACCAATTGAAAATGGAATCTAATAGATGTCTTAATCTTTTTCAGATTAATGCTCTAATGCATGCATTGATTGACTTAAGAAAGAAGAATCCCAACATAAAAAGTTTAGTTGTTTCTCAGTTTACAACATTCTTGTCTTTAATAGAAACACCACTTAAGTAAGTTCAACAGTGTTTTTCACTTTGAGTAAAAGGATTTTATATAAGTGTATTGATTCAGATAACAAAACAAAACTGTTTAATACTTTACCAGTTTTAGTCAGTTCATTTATCTAAAATAATATTCAGTCACAGTAGAAAGTATTTCCTGGCAACATAGGATTTTACAGATTAAGTCCTGAATTTATTGGAAAAAAAATTGACTGCAGTGCCTAGCATATTAGCAGGTGCTCAATAAATATTTGTTAAAATAAGTGAGTGAAAGCATTGATTGATTGAAAAGATTTGTAATTAACACTTAAAATATAATGAAGTAATCAGGGTTATTTCTACCCCTCATTAGAGCCTCTGGATTTGTATTTACTCGTTTGGATGGTTCCATGGCCCAAAAGAAGAGAGTTGAATCAATTCAGTGTTTCCAAAACACTGAAGCAGGATCTCCAACTATAATGCTTCTGTCATTAAAAGCAGGTGGAGTTGGTTTGAATCTTTCTGCGGCTTCTCGAGTGTTTTTAATGGATCCAGTAAGTACTTTGTAGACCTTTCAGAATGTTATTACTTCCTTCAAAACAAACAAAAAAAGAAACAACTATTCGGTAAATACCTTCATAATTATAATTGATTGTGAAAGTTCATAGGCAAACTTTAGACATAGATAACAATAACTTTAGTTAAGTGTGATTGAGGACTAAGTGCTTTACGTATGTCAGCTGACATCCTCAAGCATCTCTGTGAGGTTGATACCATTATCCCTATTTTATAGATGAGGAAACTGAAGCATGGAAAAGTAACATCACATCTAGTAATATGCAAAACCAGAATCAGAGTCCATGTTCTTTTTTTTTTTTCCTTTTTGTCTTTTTTTACTGACCGGTAATGGGATCGCAACCCTCGGTGTCAAGCCCGTACCGGAGACCGGCAACAGGATCGCAACCCTCGGTGTCGCGTCCGCACCGCGCTCAGCCACTGAGCGGGAACCGGTCTCCACATGGGATCCGAACCCTCGGCGGGAGCGCCACCACGCTCCCAAGCGGCGTACTCTCCAGTGCGCCACCGGGCTGGCCCCAGAGTCCATGTTCTTAAGTACTATTATGTTGTGCTATTCTACTTCTATATACAGAATAGGTCTCTGTTAACTGTAATGCTTTAGGGTAAGTAGTTCATTCAACCAACAAATAATGAGATCATGCCAAGTGTTACAGGCACTGGGAATCTGACTGTAAACAAGATAACGTGGCTGCTGTCATGGTGCTAGTGGTCTCAAGTTTTAATGTACGTAAGAATTAGGTAAAATGCAGTTTGTAACCTCTGTCCTCAGAGACTTAAGAGTTCTTGTATGAGACCCAGGAAGCTGCATTTTTTAACATATTATAGGTGATTGAGGTGCAGGTGGTCCAGGATCACAGTTTGAGAAATAAATATCATTAATAGACGTTCTGGGTAAATTTTAGTGCCTAGTATAGCACAGTCACTTATGGCTGTGCAGTACAGGCCTAGCGGTAGAATGGGAGCTAAAATTTACTCTGAAATTTACTCACCAAGATGTGTGACCTGGAACTACATCCACATAGGAGCTTGTTTTTTTTAAATGCACAAAGGGGCTGTTTGGGCTGAAAAGACCCTGAACTAACTCAATTTCTAATTTGCACTGGGTACTGTATGGGCTAGAGGCAACCATGTGCTATTTCTGTGCATTCACAGATTTAAAATTTGTGGTTTTAGCTTGTTGAAACCCAGAAGATTCATAACATGTAGAAATTTTACTGAGATATAAATTTTAATTTTTCTAGTGAGGCTACCTAGTTGATGCATGTACACGTTTATTACCAAGGCTGCTTTCTTTTCCCTCCTCATCTGAGGGGAACCTTCCCAGTAAGATTACAACCAGAGTCATATTTAGGCATTCATAGGTGAATGTCAAGGATGGCAATGGTCTGTTGTATTTTCTTGCCTTAGTGCTGTGGATGAAGTTTTAAATCTTCGTTAGTTTTAGTATTTTATGATTATTATAAAAAAAGTTCATTATAACTATGTTTCATATCAGCTAACCCAATGATAATCCTAGAAGCTGATTTTTAGAACAAATTCCTAAATTATTTTCTTTCTCTTGCCCATATAGTCTTAGTACTTGATAAGGAAGTGATTGTTAATATCAAAATAGAATAATTTGTATTATGAAGTTGATCAGAGACTAAGCTCTTCAATAGTTATAGTTTAAAAAAACTTATAGAATGTTTTAGCAGTTTTATAGTAAGTTGATTGTTTTTCATTGAACATGTCAAACTTTCCAATGTTTCTAATTTAAATGTCAGGTCCAGAAAAATAAGAATTCAGTCAAAAAAATTTGCTCATGTAATTTTTTTTTTTACTTTTTCATGGAGCATTGTATGAGAGGGTGATGTTTTGATGTCCATTATGAGCTTCTCATGAAACTAATTGCTTCCTTAATCACTCTATGTGAGCATGGGAACTATCAGTTTTATACTCATATTATCACAAGATAAATTGGATATCTGGTAGTCATACTAGGTGTCTATTGCCAGCTTGTCATTAGGCTCCTGGTTAAAATACAGGCAACAGAAAGAAACATTTACTTGGTCTCTTGGTATAATGATTTTAAAATGTGTCTAATTGTGAAATACAAAATATTCACAAAAGATATCTGTCAGTTTTAGAAAACTAAAAGCTTAAATATATTCTTAAGTCTAACGTCCGTACTGAAAACCCAAAACTCAAATTACAGCAAGCTAATAGCAAAACCTTCTCTCCCTAGATTCCAAGGGAACTTAAAAAAGAAGAAAATAAGTTAGCCTAAGTATAAATCACACTAAAACCTGTCATGTACATATGCATCTGTGATTTTATTTCTATATTCAACTGGTAACACTGTGCGTTGTAAATATTACTTTTCCCCAAAATACCATTTTCACCTTCAAGAATCATTCAGTAGTTTACATTTAAATTTAATGATCCTTATCTCAACAATTTATGATATTATTTATTAACCACTTGACTATTATCTTTCTAGACTAAAGAACTCTATCTTTTTGGTTATTCTTCGCTTTTCATTGCTTCATCACTTTATTCTTCAGCTTAAGACAGTTCTCATGATAATGTCTAAATTAGCTAATGTTTCTTTTTTTTTTTAGCTCAGTTTTGAAGTCGAATTGATTTCAAATACAGATACAGAAAATTATATCAACAGGGTCTTAAACAATTTTCAGAACTTCTGACTACTCTGAAACCGTTTTTTGTCTTTATTTCATGAATGGAGGAAAATAAAAGTAAAGAACCAAAGACCAGCAAAAGAGGAGAAAACTTTTTCAGAAATGGGCCCAAGAATTGCATATCTTTTCTGATGTAAATTAAGTCATTTAAGAGGATGTGTAAACTTTTTTCCTCTTAAGTATTCATAGATTCACTTTAAAGTGAAAAAACCAAAACAAAAAACAACAAATTGATTAACAAATATGAGGGGTCTGCAAAAGCTCATGGAAGGATTTGTATTATCTTTTCATTTCATGTTTCCACAGACTTTTTGAAGTACTCTTGTACTTATATTGGGTGGTGACACATATGTCTGGCCCTGTGTTAGGTACTAGAAGCAGTGAAGTGACAAGAATACTTATCATAGTGACTGGAGAGAAGGATTTTTTCCCCCTGTACATTTGTAATGTCCGTAATATGAATTCAGTCACCAGTCAGAAAAAGATGAATGAATAATACTGAAATGAAAGGGCTAATGCAGAGCACTCACAGATCAAGGCAGTAATAAAGCAACCCGTGTTCTTGTTAGGCTTGGAATCCTGCTGCTGAAGATCAGTGTTTTGACAGATGCCATAGACTTGGCCAGAAGCAAGAAGTTATCATTACAAAAGTGAGTTTTTAAACCATTTATTTAAAGATTAGGTTGATATGGTTGTTTAAATTATACAAGTAATGCATGAATATATTGTAATGATTGAAGTAGAATTATTCAGACAATATAAAAGTCACCTTTTTTCCTCCTCCATCAGTAGTTTAACATATGCTGTTAAAGGGCTCTTTTTCTATAGGTACATAATTCACATGTATGTATACTTCTCTCCTTACAAAAATGTCTCTTAAAGATAAATGGGATTACACTTTATTATTCTGAAGCATTTTTTTTCCTTAAAAGTATACATTTTAGACTACAAGTACATTTAGATCAACTTTTTTTTTATTGTGGTAAAATAAACAATATTTATCATTTTAGCCATTTTTTGTTCTTTTTTGTTTTTTGTTTTTGGCAGCTGGCCGTTGTGGGAATCTAAACCTATCACCGTGGTGTTACCAGCACTATGCTCTAACCAAGTGAGCTAACTGGCCAGCCCCCCTTCTTAGCCGTTTTTAAGTGTGCAGTTCAGTTGCATTAAGTACATTCACACTGTTGTGCAGCCATCACCATCATCTATCTCCAGAACTCTTTCATCATCTCAAACTGAAATGCTGTACCCATGAAACAATTATTCCCCACTTCTCCCTCCCTCCAGCCCAACAGCCACCATTCCTTCTGTCTCTGAATTTGACTACTCCACAAACCCATTCTTTTTAACACTTGCATATAGATACATCATAATTTATTTAACCAGTCCAATTTTTTGCTAATAAAAACAGTGCCATAATGAACATTATAGTACATATATCTTGGTGCATATATACAAGTATTTCTTTAGCATAAAAAAACTAGAATTTTAAATTTAGGATTTTTATTAGAGAATATCAAGTTGCTTTCAAAATAGACTTTATAATGTATGAAAGTGATGTAAATTTATGCTTATGTGATGATTTTAAAAAAGTACCCTTCTAGTTTGCATTTACCTAAGACCTTGAGCATAGTTCATGTCTGTTGTTCATCAGTGGTTTTTTTCTGTGAATTGCTTGTTTACATATTTTGCCCAGTTTTCATACTTACAGTACAAATATAGTTTTCTAGTATAAAGGACTCCTTTATACATTCTGATTTTAAATCTTTTTTTTGTTATGTAAGTTAGAAATGGTTGATTCCAGGCTTTTGCTCTCTTGCTTGTCTTTAAACTTTATGAGCTTTTGGTTATGGAAAGAAATTTTTATGACTTAAAATGTGTCAGCCTTTTTTATAGCTTCTATGTTTTAAGGTTTTGCTTAGGACACAAGGCTTTATCTTCATATTTTTAAAACTATTCTACTTCTGATTCTTTTGGAAGATTTTATTTTGTGTTTTGTTTTATGATTTGTGATATGGAAGAACTATTGTTTTGTCACCTTTTTTTTTTTTTTTGAAAAGTCTATCCTTTTTTCCTACTAATGTGAAATGTCACTTGTATTATAAATATTCAATATATGTATCACATGGGTCTCTTTCTAGACTATTTTGTTCCAATGAACTCTTTTCTTGTTCTCAGGACAATATTAATCTTATAATAACTATGGGTTTATAAATTATTTTGATATCTGATAGGGAAAAGTATTATTACCCTTTTTGAAAATTGTATTGGTTGTTACTATTATTACTTTGGAACTTAACTTTGGATTTAGGTTATCAAATCCCATTTAAGAAATCTTGTTTGCGATTTATTGAATTTATGATTACTTTGAGAACTGTCTTCTTTAAGGAATATTTCCATACAGGAACACAGATAGTACCTCTCCATTTATTTAGAGCTCTTATGTATTTCAGTAAAGTTTTATAGTAAAACTTCTTTAGTTATTGCAGTACCTGGGCCTTCTTATGCAGTGTTGAATAGTGGTAGTGATACCAGTCATTCTTAACTTGTTCCTATTTTTTTGGCAATACTTTTATTGCTTTACATTATGTTGTTCTTGGTAAGTTTTTAATAGATATTCTTAATAAGGTTGAGGACATTTATTCCTAAGTTAATGAGGATTTTTCTTAAATCAAGGTGTTTTAATCAGGAATAAATGTTGAATTTTTAAAATGCTTCTAAAGCATCTGTTGAGATTATCACATTTTTTTCTCTTTTATTTGTTAATGTTATGAATTATATTGGATAAAAACTAATTCTTACATTTCTGGGAATTTCTCATTTGGCTTTAATATAATGCTAAAGTCATTTTCCCAAAGTTGCCCTATATAGTTTGCTTTTTTTGTGCCGTTCTTAACTGGGCATTGGGTTAATGTAACTTCTGTCCTACAGCATATTCTTTACATAAGAAAACCATGTTTGTGACAAAGGAAAGCAGTGCCGAGCTGTCGTTATAATATCATGTTCTAAATATTTTCACTGTGTATTGAGAAAGAGGATCTAAATGGTTCCTAATAGATTATTATTGAACATTCTTGAAAACTATGGAATACTTATAAGAATATAGATTCTTTTATAGTAGACCAACATTCTCACTATCTCAAAATTTCATTTTTTCTGTTTCTTATTGGGCAATGTTGTTAGCATATTTATCCATCATGTTGCTAATAGTTCATTTAGTTTTCTTAGTAAGGCTTTTTTTTTTTAATTGAAGATTTTCAATATTGTAACCTAAAAAGTACTTAACAAATTAAAAATTTTTTTTTTCTTTTTAAAGTTCATTGTGAAGGATTCTGTTGAAGAAAACATGCTGAAAATACAAAACACAAAGAGAGAACTTGCAGCTGGAGCCTTTGGAACTAAAAAAACAAATGCTAATGATACGAAACAAGCTAAAATTAATGAAATCAGAACTTTAATTGATTTATAATTTGTGGGATTTTAGTAAGGTCAGTTTGATCAGATACATAAGTTTTGGAAATAAAAGTAGTTTTAGAAGTGAGAGCTAGAGAGTATCTTCTAAAAGGGGCATATTTTATATTACTGAAGAGGTATTACCGATGCAGTCTCTTCTATATATGAACCTATTTTTAATGATACTACAGATAGCAATAAGTTTGGTAATATACTGTGGCCTAAGATAATTTTTTGAGAAAAAAAGTTACTATTCAACTGTTCATAGTGTCAATGCTGAGTATTTTTCATGTATCTTCCAAGTACTCAGCTTTTTCATATTTCAAATATGGTCAAACTTTATGCTTTTGACCAGTTAGTTAGTTATTTTCTGTGTTGGACACGTTCAGTTATTCACCAAAGCCTCTGATTTGTGGATACAGTGGATTCACATTCCTTGTAAACAATTAATATATATATATACAGACTATACAAGAGGTTGATTTTTGTTGGACTTTCGAAAACCATATTTACATTCCAGAACCAAACCTTACATGAGAGACCAAAGTCCAGGTTATTAGCAAGTTACTTGACTTTTTTTTTTTTTTACTTTACAGCTTCATTGGATATATAATTCAGATAAGTGACTTAACATTTGATGTTTATGAAAAAATTAGGGACTGTGTTAGAGCACTATTTTCTCCATTTTAGTCATGTATTATACTCATTGTTTAAATGTAACTTAATGTGTGTGTAGGGTGTAAATCCTAAGCAGTCTGTGGGGGTGAGAGGAAACCAATTCTACTCAATTTGGTTTGAATATTTAAATTATGGTATTGCTAAATAGATATTTCTATAAATAGATAACTTTTATTTATGTAGGTTTTTTTTGGAAATAACTTTATAAATTTTTATAATTCAGAAGACTACTATATGTGAGAGGCATGATATCTGGATGGAAGTTGGGCTGGATGACCTCCAAAGTCCTTTCAACTCTTAAAGACATCTTAATCTTGAATGTAAAAATTTCATTGTTATGTGTGTTTTGGAATTTGATTTTGGAACTTATGTAATTCATCCTTACATCTGTCTCTAGAATTATAGTCATCTTTTTCTTATATTTTTGTTAATATTCAAACTCTCAGTAGTTGCCACAAAATTCTGTATGACTCTGAGTCATATTTAAAACAACTAGAAATTTAGCAATCAGGTTAGATAGTCAGTGGTTTTATTTCCTTAAGAAAAAAATTTTTTTTTGATCCAAAGAAAGAGGAGATTAATCACTGTAACAAGAGAAACTTCGTGTTTGATAATACAGACTTAAGAACACCTTAAATTTTACTTAAAGTATTAGAAGTGACTTGAATGAAAGATCAGAGCATATTGGAGTCAATATTGTGATACAGAGCACACAAGTAAGGTATGTGCCAAATTTCTCACCAGCTAAGTCCTCCCCTCCCTATGCCCTGGCTTTTGCTCCAAGGGAACAGTGGATTAGCCAGCAAAAATCTTCCCAGTCCCTTTTCTTTGGAGTAGCAGGTGAGGCAGAGGGTTGATTTTCATCAAGACCAAGACATTTCTGCAGGGACCCATCATAATTTGAGGTGGGTCCGCTAGCATTAGGAACAGTAGGGAAGTTCTTTACCTTGTAGGTGTAGCATTACACAAAGAATGAGGTTGATCAGAATCTCATGAAAATGTGGTATATGGGTTCTCTATATACCAACACTCCATTGAGATTATAAACAGAGTTTTTGGCAAAATATACAATCCACTCTTGCTTACAAAGGCAAAGCTTTACAAACTCACTGTAAAGGTGAAGACAGCTTGTTTCTTTACCCAGACATTTACAGAGTTGTGTTTTAAAACACATTCATAAAATGATGTTTGGCAAATCACTTAAAAAATACCTTTGTTTTTATACAGTTCAATTAAATGGTGTTAAATAGAAAAATTTGATTTGTCCTGAGAAAATATGAGTATAAACCACTGGAATGAAAACTTCACATTATGCTATGCTATTGTTTTATAATTATGTAGAATAATAGCTTTAGAAATATATTGAAGACGTATTACTGCTTGTGGTTCAAACTGAATTTTGTGTTTCAAACTGGATATAGTTTTAAATTTAAAATCAATAAAAATTCAAAAATTTAGTAGCTTCCTCAGTGCCATAATTTTAATGATGCTCTTCAAAGAAAATAAATCACTAAATCTCACATTTCTGTGGAAATGTTTGTATTTCATTGACAGTACACAAAAACATACTATAACTGAGAGTTACTCATATTGCCACCTTTATTATTTTGCTCAGTTTAACTGGTTGAATTTCTTGTAAAGTTATATATTTAAAGTTTATTTTAAATACCTTGATCTAAAACATTGGTTCCAATTTCATTATTGTAAGAAAAAAGGAGTTGTGATAATACCTATATATTATCAGCACTCTGGATCAACGTAGATTTTGCCCTTAAAATTGCAGCTCTAGGACTGGAAATTGTTCATCAAGGAAATGATCCTGTGTAGTTTATTACCAATGAGTATTAATGAAGTTATCCTCGGGCAGTGTAAGCTTTGTGTTGGGGAATGTCAAAAATTTTGGTGTGTTTTTCCTCATTTTATTTATAGTACTTGCTAAGTTTTATTCATTAACATTTAGATGAGATTCATTAGAAAGATGAGAACGGATTTGATGTTGGCTCATACTGAACTCAAATATTTAACCTTAAGTTCTTAACGCATTTAAATTATTTGCAAAAGGTATAATACAAAAGGGAAATACAATGTAAGGATAACTAAGATAAACATTCACTTTATGCATGAATCAGAGACCTTGATCAAGCGTGGAACTAATCCCCAAAGGCATGGATTTGACCTTTGCGTGGGCAGGTCTGTCTTAAGGCTAGTGGCTTCATGCCCACCACTGTTCACAAGAGGATAAAAAGGTAAAGATATCACCTCTGCAAATACATACCTTGTAATTTGAGTTATTGTTGCTTTTTTATACATCTAAGTAACCCTTGGTATTTTGGGCTCCCTAGAAATGATTTTGCAGTATAATTGTGCAGCTTTGCATGGAAAAGTAAAGTTAATACTTCACCTTAATTAACACATATCCTTAAAAGATCAGGGACGGGAAAGAAGTCTGTTGGCCCAGTTCAGTGACTTCCCAGCCACATAACTTGACACCCTAATGCACATTATATGTTATTTTCTATTGTAAACTTGTCACTATTTCTGATTCCAAAAGTTAATAGCCTTCACTATATGCTTATTTAAACTTTAAAAATTATGTAATAAACCTTTTCACTTTAGAGGTCTCTTTTGCTACTGTGTAAAAAATAGGAAATAAAAGATAATACAAAAAAATATAAGTGATACAATGTTTGGTTCCCCCCCCCCCCAATTTGTGGCTTTTACGTATTTTCTCAATTAATAAAAAATCTTTGAATCTTGTGACTAATACATTCAATGATTTGGATTGCATATTGCATGGCCACAAAAATAAGGTAGTTATTTATCTGATGACTAGGTTTCCGGTCATCTCAGCCAGGGACCCAGAAGCCAAAAAGGCTTCTAATTGAAATTATTTTGAGAGGTCTTTATACCACAACACCAGACATATGGATGAACTTCAATAAATCTTTGGTAAATCTTTCATGTGCTTAAAGATCATAGCAACTCATTCTCTACCAGTTCAAATAACTTAAGTTTTATCTTCAGAGCCCATTTAATATTTAATAATTTTAGGTAAATCTTCAGGTTCTTGAGCTTTTGTGGTAGCTGCAAGCCTCCAAGGTGGCTCCCAACCATTCTTGCTTCCAGATATCCATACCCCTGTACTCATTCACAGCCATGGTGAATAGGGATGACCCATTATTGTAGAAATGAAGGAGGGGGACCTTGAAGGCTAGGTCCCAAAAGCCATTGCAGCTTCTATCCAATTAAACCTCTAAAATTTCCTGTCATAGCCCACTCTCCTGTTTTCTTTACTAGAATCATTTTTGATTACTCACATTTTAGTTTTAAAAGGTTGTTTTTGGATCCTACCCTTCCCTAGCTTGCTATCCCTTGTAACCTAAAAACATCTTTAAATTTAATAAATATGCTTCATACTTCCATTTTATCATTTTAAATCATAAATAAAAACACTAGAAGGCACTGGGTCCAGTACTGATTCTCAGTCTTGAAAGTATTGAGTGTGTTCAGAGACTGACAATGAACCTATGATGATTTTAAGGTTAAAATATTTTAAATACCTGAATACCCACTTAATGTGGAGATCCAGCATGGGTGACTAGATAGATTTGTTCTCATTTTCCTCCATCTGTCAGATCCATCACCATTATTAAAGAACATTAGATTTAAATTTCTTGGATACCAATTTTCAAGGCATGTATACCAGTATCAAGCTTTACACTATTTTTTAAAGTTGACAAATTCCAAAAATTATGGAAAATTCCTTAATACATTTTTTCAAGGGTGGTTGGGTAGAAATTGTTAATTTAATTGAACAATAAAGATATGGCAATATGTCTTTATTTTTCACACAGGGTACCACTGCAGGTAGCCATCAGAGAACACAGTGCTATTTTCAAATATATAGAACTGAACAAAAGCATTTTAGCATGCTGCCTTACTATACATAGAAAACTGGTGAACATCTTCAGACACAAAACAAGGAAATAAAATGGGTTTATGCCATTTGTTGATATGTTTATGACCCAGCAGTATTAATATGGGCTATCTTTCCCTGAAAGTAGAATTACATTCACTCTGGCAGCCTCTGGGCAATTCTAAAATGCAGGTGAAGGGAAAAACAAGCAAGCAAGGGACAAATGCCATGTTCTGTTCTGAAAGGAGACTGATTTGGAGCCTGGCTCTGCACATTTTAAGAGTTGATATAGCCATCTAAATAGCTTAATATTAAGTTTTCCTTATCATGTAAGCTGGCAATCAGCATAATTATTTCTGAAACATTGGCTATATGAGACGGGTTAAAGAGCAGAACACTGTCCATATAACAAAACTGCTACTTTACAACTTTTGCCCAGTTCTCACCTGTTGTCCTGAAAAAATCCCTCATCTGATGAGTTTTAGCAAAAGCCTCTAGCAACTGTAACAGACTTTTCTCAACCCAGCTCTAGGTACTAAGGATCAGGAACAAGTGCCTGTAAAGTGGATGTGTCCTCGGGAAAATGGCAGTGTTTCTACTGGAGGTAAGTATCGAGTTTCCTCTTGATGTTGTCAAAGGAGTCTGCTCCCATGTAATCAGCCTGGCCCTGCTCCCACCGCTCCTTCCGTTCTTCTGAGGATACAAAAGGCTGTGCTGCAGCTGGGATCTCCCCGAGGGACAAGTGTGACACAGCTCCTGAGACTCTGCTCCCATGTAATCAGCCTGGCCCTGCTCCCACCGCTCCTTCCGTTCTTCTGAGGATACGAAAGGCTGTGCTGCAGCTGGGATCTCCCCGAGGGACAAGTGTGACACAGCTCCTGAGACGTCTTCCTAGAAAGGAGCGCATAATCAGAGACTCCTTGAGAGCTGAAAATCAGATCACTTTAAGAATGCAACAAATTGAAGAAGGTGGGAAAAGCCAGGATGAATTATCATGCAAAATAACAAGAACTGAAAAGTATTACATAAAACAAACAAAAAAAGACACAAAAATATAAAGGTCATATGACTATATGACTTTTTTTTTTCCTAACAAAATGAAGACTTCTTGACTTAGTGAAAACATTGGGAGAACAAAGTAATTAGGGTTAATGTTTAAGTTCTGCATACCTTTCTACAGAAGCCACAAGAGAAAGCCAGTGTATAGACCAAGTCTGAAAGCTGCAAACAGTTCATCAGAAAGTGTAAGATGGATGGATAAGGGAGCACAGGTCTTATGATAAATTCTCAATCTGTGTGGGCTCAGAAAGGTTGAGAACTTAAACAGAACAATACCTCAGAGGCTACCCTTTGGAAATAACCAGAGAGCCACAACACATACGCAAATTGTCACGTTACAAGAAGGAAAGCTAAATGGTTTTGAGACTAGGGACCCATCTTTTCTGCCTGTTCAAGCTTTCATTTGGATTACCGAGTAGCATATATTCTTGTAGCTTCTGTTAATTTGTTTAGTTAGGAACAACTGTTTCAATTCCCACCTTCATCTTGTCTTGGTTCATAATTCTCAGCCCTTGTGTTGCAGAACAGGGTGAATGTACAGCAAATAGAGAAAACTTACTCTACGTTAAATTTGATTCTCATTACATGTAGATAGGCAGTAGAAAGGTAATCAACTTCAAATGTACTATAAAAGAGTACCAATGCTATTCTTCAAGAAGATCTAATATGAGAAGATACTGGAAATCTTAGCAGAGAAAAAGGAAAGCGAATGAACAGGTATTGCAGAAAATGGTAGAAAAAAATTTTGACCACCTGTTTTTGTTGCTATGTATATGTAAGGGAATATATATGTATTTAAATATACTGGAACTCTGAGGTGTTTGGGTATAGGATTGTGTTATAGCTGAGGCAAAATAAGGAAGTCCTTCTACTGGATTAGTCTTGCCTTCCCCTTGCAACAGGAATGACATAGGGAAGCTCTTCCAGAGTCTCCTACTTTATAACATGGGTGCTGTGAATTTACAGTGAACTTTCCTAGGAGAGAGGCCCTTGAGGTCAAGCCAACTATACTGGATCCACCTTAAAATTGTTCAGCATTTAAAGTGTAACTCTCCCTTCCCTCATCATATAAAGGGCTATACTTAATTCTGGGCTGTAGAGGAACACCTTAAGATCCATCTCAAATTTTCATAAAGATAATAGTCTCAGACCTGGATTTTGAGTCCCAGTTCTGCTACTAATTAGCCTGTTACAAAATGATGACAAGTTATGTAACTTCTTAAAGCCTCAGTTAATTTATGTATAAAAAGATATTAATAATAGCACACACTTGATAGAGTGGTTGTAAGGATTATATAAGAATATCTAACTTTTATTAAGCACTTACTATGTGCCAGGCACTGTTCCAAATACTGTACAAGTATTATTTCATGATCCATAAAAAGCACTTAAGAGTGCAACTGTTAGTTGTTTCTTCCTTTGTCCTTTATTTTGATAGAAATGCTAATAAGTGAAATGGCTAAAATCTGCCATAGAAAAGAGAAGAATTTCTTATATTATTATCTCTTATAGCCAGGTAATTAACTGATTACCTGATTATAATTCACCCATTCAGTTCTATTCTTTATATCTTAATATGTAACATAACAGTTTAACTCCTCATCCTCTTCTAATTCTTCCAAAAGAACAAACCTCAGAGGAGGACTTTTAAGTCAGAAAAGATGCTAAAGAGAATTGTTATTGTAAATTTTAATGCGTCATCTCCCTCCTACAAAGAAATTTCTTTTTCAAGATACTATATAACCATATGAGTACAAACACAGGAAATCAAAATAATCATAGAAAATTATTTGTTGTATGTTCATGTTGTGATTTTCTTCTAAACAGATGGCAAATATAAAAGATATATTTAAATGTTTGCAGTTTCTGAAATATTAAGTGGGGTGTCCTTTATTTTTATAGACCACTATTTTGGGAATAATCTCAGAATCTTTTCATAGGACAATGGGCTAAGAATTTTATAGTTACAATGTATGGATGTACTGTATATAAAAAAACTCTAAAAACCTTTCTTATACTCTCAGATCTGATGAAATTTGCCACACAATCTACTTCTGCTACTTCTTTGCTGGTAATATTTCGCCCCTCTAAGATGGTCATTGTTTTCTTTCCACAAAATCTTATTTATCTCTTTGCTTAAAATACCACTAAATATTCCCCATTTCCATTGATATAACAAGTTCTTTAACATCCAGTGTTAGTACCTGAAAGAAAAAAAACCAAAAACTGAACCTACCACAGTTATGTATGAGCAGGTATCTTTGACAAGGCCAAACTGTTGAAGCAGAGGTAAAACGCTGGTGGTAAAGATGTCCCACCACAGGTTGAGAAACTCTGGATGAGTTATGGTGGGATCATGGGACTCACTTTTGACACTTTTTGTTTTGGGATTATAAGTAAAATTCCATGGTTTGATTCGTCCCAGGAAATGCACAACTTTGGCATTTGCACCAAACCTGCCAAGTGAACACAAGTCGACACAGTTAATGGATTCTAAGCACTGACAAAAAGATAAGCAGCACTTTGTTCTGGAGCCTCAACAGTGTACCTTCTATCCTGCGGTAGTGTTTGGAAAAGTAATTGACCTCACTGTGAAATTGTGAGATAGATACTTTTTCAATTATTCAATTGTGTGTTAATTACACATAAAAATGCAAAAGTAGTAGTGGTTCAGTGCTACAACCAAAGTGCCAATCGATTACAGACAGGAAAGGCACAACCTCTTTAAAACATTTGGTATTACCTAGCAAGGTTGAAAATGCTCATGCTCTACAACCCAGAAGCTCAACTCCTAGGCATATACCCTAAAGAAACTCTTGCACATGTGCAAGAGGAAACATAATCAAAATGTTCACAGCAGCAGCATTGCTTGAAATAGTCATAAATTGGAAACAACCCAAATGTCCATATGTTAGATTATTGTTCAGTAAGTATATGCTTCTTCTCCCAGGCCCCACAGGGGAGTACACTTTCCCATCTGATGTTGGACGTGGTCATAAGGCTTGATATGGCCTGTGGAATGTAGGCAGAAGTGACAGTGTGCCTTATAGAGGCGCTGCTAATTTCTGTTCACTATGAGAAGTTAAAACTTCTGCCCGAAGAACACGCCTTGAGTATCCTGCTGGTTCCAGAAGAATGAGAACGTTGGGATAGATCTGGCTCACACCCGTGGCCTGGCTCCAAACCCAGATGAGATTATCAGAGCTGTCCCAGCTGACCACCAAGATATAAGTAGGAAACAAAAGAGTACTTCAAAAAGTTTGTGGAAAAATAGAATTAAAAGATAATATAAATCTTTCCATGAACTTTTTGAAGACCCCCTCGTACTTGCTTACTGTCAAATATCGCTGAGCTTTTATATAATTATATATCCATTCTATTTTTTTCTCCATGAACTTTTTGAAGACCCCCTCGTACTTGCTTACTGTCAAATATCGCTGAGCTTTTATGTAATTATATATCCATTCTATTTTTTTGCCACCGGGCCGGCCCTATTTTTTTCTTTTTTGAAGAAAAACTTCTAGTATATTCATACCATGGAATACTATATATCAGAGAAAATGAATGAACTATAGCTATACTCAATATACAGCAAGTAGACGAGTTTTAAGAACATTTATGTTGAAAAAAAGATGAGTCAAATAGAATTACATACATATGATTCTACTTACATAAGGCAAAAACCAAGAAAGAGGTACTGTTTTAATATTAGGAACTGTAATCAATCTAAATTTCATAATACTGGTTGCCTCTGGGGGAGAGAGGAAGCCATGATTGGAAGGGGACAAAAAAGGGCTTCTAAGACACAGTTGTATTCCTTCTCTTAACTTGGGTGGTGGGTATTTTAAAGCACTGCACATTTTTTTTTTTTTGTATTATAATTTTTTGTATGTACTCTATATTTCGCAATAAATAATATCTTAAAAAGAGTAGGGATTAAGTGCGGTCCTGTTCTGGCTAGGAGGAAATCTATGCAAATGACAATAAAGTGAAAACAACGAGAGTCAAAGGGAAAACAGGAACAGTGAGTGCTTAAGAATTCTGAGGCAGAAGGGTCCCACAGGCCACCTTCAGGAGGGCAGACGTGCTGAGATAGTGGGATGTGACCACAAGGTTGTACAGCAGATGGGATCTGGGTAGCTGGTGATGACACAGGGAATTTCAGGCAGGGGGATGGCAGGTATCAGGTGAGCACCTGTCTGCTCCAACTAGAGCCAGAGAGATAGCTTTGAATAGAGAAAGAAGGTTAAAATGGGACAGATCCTTGGGTATTGGGCTGAAGTGTTTGACTGCAACAGATTTATCCTGTAGGCAACCAAAGTATTTGAGCATGATGTTCAGATCAAAATAATGCAAACTCTAGTCACATAACTTTTCCTACCTCTTAAAGTTTATTTTTAAAAAAATGTTAGGGACCTGTTAAATAGCTGTCATTATCTGAGAGTTTACTATGTTTGGGGCCCAAATGCTTTAAGGACATGATTGGGAAAAAAAAAAAAAAAACATTCCTATAAGGTAAATTTTAAAAATGTGTTAACAAAAAAACAATCTTACCTTTCATATGGAACAACAAAAGACCCCGAATAGCCAAAGCCATCTTGAGCAAAAAAAAAAAAAGCCAGAGACAGAACACTACCTGACTTCAAATTATACTACAAAGCTATTATAACCAAAACAGCATGGTACTGGTATAAAAATAGATGCTCAGACCAGTGGAGTAGAATTGAGAAACCAGAAATCACCACTCAGGCTTACAGCCATCTGATATTAGACAAAGGCAACAAAAATCTACATTGGGGAAAAGATTGCCTCTTCAACAAGTGGTGCTGGGAAAACTGGATATCCATATGCAGAAGAATGAAACTAGATATGCATATCTCATCATACACTAAAATCAACTCAAAATGGATTAAAGACTTAAGTATAAGACCTCAAACTGTAAAATCATTAAGGGAAAATATAGGTGAAACACTTCAGCAACTAGGTCTGGGCACAGGCTTTATGAACATGAGCCTGAAAGCACAAGCAGTGGAAGAAAAAATAAACAAATGGGAATATATCAAACTAAAAAGCTTCTGCACAGCAAAGGAAACAATCAACAGAGTGAAACGGCAACCTACAGAGTGGGAGAAAATTTTTGCTAACTATTCATCTGACAAGGGATTAATGTCCAGAATATACAAAGAACTCAAGCAATTATACAGTAAAAAACCAAATAAACCAATTAAAAAATGGGCAAAGGAGCTTAATAGACATTTTTCAAAAGAAGACATACAAATGGCCAATGGGTACATGAAAAAATGCTCAACATCACTAGTCATCAGGGAAATGCAAATTGAAACCACATTGAGATACCACCTCACCCTAGTTAGACTGACTATAATAAAAAAGACAGTGAATAACAAATGCTGGCAAGGGTGTGGAGAGACGGGAACACTCCTACACTGTTGGTGGGACTGTAAATTATTACACCACTATGGAAAACAGTATGGAGGTTTCTTAAACAACTACAGATAAATCTTCCATATGATCCAGCCATCCCACTTTTGGGTATATACCCATACGAATGGAAATCATCATGTCAAAGGGATACCTGCACTCCCATATTCATCGCAGCTCTATTTACAATAGCCAAGACATGGAACCAACCTAAATGTCCATTGATGGATGATTGGATAAGGCAACTGTGGTATATATACACCATGGAATTCTACTCTGCCATAAAAAAGAATGAAATACTCCCACTTGCAACAACATGGATGAGCCTGGAGAAACTTATGTTGCATGAAATAAGCACAGAGGGATAAATACCACATGTACTCACTCATATGTGGGAGCTAAGAGAGAGAGAAAGAAGGAAAGAAAGATCACAGTAGTGAGTTGCTCTTGCAGAGGGAGAGAACATTCCTTGGGCTACAAAGTGGAGTTGGGGGGAAGGGGGGAAAGGGAGAGGGGGAGAGGGGTTGGAGATAATTGAGTGGGGGACACAGGGTACAAATGCAATTTGTGGTAATGGGTATGCTGCCAGTATGAATCTGGCCCTCACATCATGGGCCTGTGAGGTGGAAACCATCTTTGTATCTCATGAATACTCATAATAAAAAATAAATTTAAAAAAAATGTATTAGAGTCTTAAAGCGACTGAGCAAGTTTCTCAGGGCCACAGCTATTAAGTGGCAGAGATGGGATTTGCCACACTTTTGTCTCACCCTAAGGCCTGAGCTTTTACCATCCTAAGATGCTGCCACTCCAAAAATATGCAAGAAAAATGAGCCTATTTGTAAAGGTCTTTCCTCTTATGGGTAATTATTCCATAGTGTAGTTTTTCTGAGAATGAAGGGGATACCTGATTTCCCAAGCTTACTCTTTATTTTATATACATAGGATATTTTACACAGACACACACACACAAAAGGATAGAAATCATAATATCCAAATTTGTGCCCAAGATAAACTATCAATTAAATAAGCAACTGTCATGCATAAGGGACTATGCACAGTGTGTGGCCCAAGAGGCTTCGATCCGAGTAGAGAGACATTGTGTACATAATAATAAGTAATAATACCACAAGGAAGGCAACGATCAGTGATAAGAGAGACGTGCTGACCTTAAGGGCTATGGGAATTCCAAAGCAATGACCACAGATGGGATTTTCAGGGGAGGATTTGTGCAGGAAGTGGGGCCAGGACAATGCTTGGGAAAGATGGGCAGGATTTAGATAGCTGCCTTCAACAAAACATTCTAACGATGATGGGGAAACCCATCCCAGAGATCTGACACTTGCGTGTGTGTATGGTGGAGGAGGGAGAGAGGCACTGCCTCATCCTAGCAATGTAAACCCTTAAGCCTAAAACCATAATAGAGCACTTAGGGACAAGCAGGAGTTCCTCCCACCTTCTCAGACATTCACCCCTCCTGACTCAACTTGCCTGCTGGAGCCATAGCACTTGTTTGCTCCTCCTGTATTAACTGACCACAAAGCCTCAACCCATAATTTGCCTAGACATACGCAGTCATGACATGGTAGCAATACTAGTTACAACTGAGTGTGGTGTAAACTCTATCCCTTTCTAACCTCCTCTCCTGACAGCTCACAAATGATGGAGCAGTGGTATCAGTGATAGTGATGTGTATTGAGTACTCACATGTGCCACACTCTAGTTGGCATTTGCATGGTTTACCTCAGTTAAATCTCCAAAACAACTGTAGGAGGAAACCGAGGTGCAAGGAAGTTAGACAGCTTGCAGAGGATCCATACTGGTGAGGAACAGGGCTTAGATTCCATGCAGGCAGTCTTGCTCCACAGTCAAGGCTCTTAACCATGACTAGGCTATTCTTCTAAGACACTCCCAGAATGATGAGGGCGTTGTTTGAGAGTGACGTTTGTTAATCCATGTATTAATGCCCCACCTATGGAGAGTCAGTCTAAAGTGGAAAAGGTATGCCTAAAATCCC